CTGTGAGTCACCTCACACAAGTGAGTCTGGTCCTCTGCAGGAGCAGTAGGCACTAAGCCATCTTGTTACGTACTTAGAATGGTGAAATTGATATTTGCTCATTCATGAAATGATTATTTTAGCTGGCCATTTTATCATTATGAGAAATGTTACATGGAAGAAAAATGGGGCAGAGTGGGAACTGCTTGCTGTGGCCCATTTCTTACAAAAACGATGAAAATATAGCCGTTGAAATAAAGACTACTATCCTTATTTCAGACAGCACAGCTCTATTTCTGTTGTTAATGATAAGGTAACAATGTCTTCTCTATTACCTTGCCAAACTAACCAAGCTTAATTCACACCAGTTCAAAGAGGTTCTAAGTTCTCCCAGATAAGATGGCTGCCAGTCACTACCCACTACAGGGATCCAGGACTAAGATAGAAACATAGTTTCTTGAATAAAGTACCTCTGTGGAGACTATTGCTATTTTCTAGGCTCTTTAGCTTCATACTGAAATATGGTTACACAGGTGAAATGGAGGGGATTAGGTACCTGTTCACCTTTAATCATTGCCACACGGGTGGAGAGGTAACTATCTTTTCTTAGCTGAGAACACAGCCCCAGAAAGGGAAGAAATCCAATTAGAATCATGTGGCTGGAAGCAGTGAAAGGCATTAAAACCCAGTCTAGTTCCAAATAATCCCACTTTTCCCTTTTACTTTCTTTGGTCAGGGCTGTGCATTGAACACAGGGTCTCAAACAAGCTAGGCAAGCACTCTACCACCAAGATATTCTCAGCCCCCTCGAAGTCTAAAGAACAATTCTACTGTTTACATTGGATCTCAATGGATCTGTACTTCAGGCCAGCCTGGGTTCCAGGCTGGCCTGAAGCCAATGGCAATCCTCCTGCCTCAGACTCCCAAATGCTGGGATTGCAGACATAAGCCATCATTTTTGGCTCCCTATCCCTTTTTAACTTTTGCGTTTTTTAAGATAGTGTCTCACTAAATTGCCCAAGCTAGAACCGCACTCACTCTAGATACAACTGTTATTTGGTATCCTACTGCCTCAGCCTACTGAGTGGCTGGAACTACAGACCTACAAAAGGAGAAAGCTTTGCATCTGTGTTTACCCCACTAGTGATACAAGATATACCCCAAGTATACACAGCCGTGACGGTTAAGTGATTTTGATAAACATCAAGCACGTAAAAGACAGTGAAGTATTACATAAAGGAAATGCTTACTTTATTTAGTCTGCTTTTCTACAATCACTGTTAACTACCAAGCCTACGGTTTTCTCTTTACACTTGTCATTTTTACTGTCTTTTGAAACTAATTAAAATAATCTGGTATATGCTTAAATACCTGAAAGAAGAAAAAAAGGGAGCTTTGCATTGACAATTAAGTTTATGGAGTAATCAAGTAAAAAGTAACAGGGAAGCAGTTTTCAAAAGATGCAGTTTGTGCTCCTGGGGTAGCTGGAAGATGGAGCTGGCGGGTGGGTGGAGAGAATCAGAGGCAAAGAGGGAAACAGGCTTGAAATTACACAGCATATTTTCAAAGCAAGTTTTTAGTGTGTGGGCGGAAGTGGTGGGAAGGATTTGCCTCGGAAAGGAAAGCTTCAGCTGGACCCCAGGGGATAGAAGGTTTAGACAGGAGGCCAGGTGCAATGACATAGTCCTGTAGTAAGTAGACTGAGACGATTTAGCAAGAATGTCTCAAAAAAAATATAGAAAATCACCTGATCTGGGGGATTAGTTCAGTGTTTGTCTAACATGTGTCAGGCCCTGAGTTCAATCCCCAGCACACATAACACTTCTCCTAGTGGTGCACACCAATAATTCCAGCACGAAAGAAAGTGGGACTGGGAGATCAGGAATATAAGGTCATCCCCTGGCTACGGAAAAAAGTGAGAGAGTCTGTATCCAAACAAACAAGAGGTGTGGGTGTAACTAAGTGGTAAAAATGAAATAAAATGGGGAAAGAAAAGAATGTAAAGAGGCAAAACGCATTTGGAAAAAAAGCAAAGGAGATAAAAAAGGAAGTTTGTGGGGAAATAGGCCAGGTATTGTTGGTTCAGGTTTTTGTTAGTTGATCACTGAAAAAACAAACAAACAAACAAACAAACTAGTCTGTTGGTAATGACAGAAGAAAAGATTAAAATCTGAACGATCATATCTTAGTCTGGGTATTAAGTATAATGGGACGGATTCTTAAATTTTACAATCTAAAGAGTTTTTAAGTATTTATTTAAAAATTTTTATATGTCTAAGTATCTTTGCCTGTGTGTCTGTCTGTGTACTACATGGGATCAGTGGAGGTCAGAGAGGGTGCTGGGTCCCTGGACTCCAAGTGACAGATGCTTGTGAGCTGCCATGGAGATACCAGAAATCCAATTCTGGGCTGGGCTGGCCTGGACTGTGGTGGCACACGGCCTTAATCCCATTTCCAGGACAGCCAGGGTTATACAGAGAACCCTGTCTGGTCCTCTGGAAGAGCAGCCAGTGCTTCGAACTGCTGAGCCATCACTCCAGTGCCTCCTGTCCCCAGGACTTTTAAACCTCAGCCTAAAGAATGTGTCAGTCCCCTGTGCTCTGTAGATGATTAACAAACTAACACCCAAAAGGTCACCTGATTTCCATTACTAAGCTCAGTAGCAAAATTCCTGGGCTGAAAATCCATCATCTTCTTACTACCAAGGAGTCAGACACTCAAGGAATTGTTCCAAAGGATGAGAATGCAGACAGAGGAGGAAGGCAGGCAAGGACAGAAACTAACACGTATGTAGGACAAAGGCAGGTTTTCTGTTTGAAAACAGAAAATTAGTTCATAAAAAAGAGGAATGGTGGATGAGGCTGTTCCTTTGGTAGAGTTCTTGTTTAGCATTCATGAAGCCCTGCCTTTGATCCTCAGAACCACCTAAAACTGGGGAAGGGGTACATGCCTGTAATCCCAGCACTGACACCATCCTCAGTTATATTGTGAGTTCAAGGCCAACGGTATACATGAGACAGTCTTCACACACCCCATTCACAACCCGCAAGACAGAACCAGACCACACAGCACTTACTGGGCAGCCTTTAACTTCTTCCTCTCACAATTTAGAATAATACCTTGTGCAAACAAGCACTACACCTTTAAAGTTTGCTGTGAATAAAGAAAAAGTCATAAAGATAAACATATTTCTAAGAGGCAGCTTTACCTCAAAAGATGCAGAGAGAGGCTTTTCTGATTAAAGCAGCCCACTAATATCTTCTGCTCCTCTCTTCCCCTTTCTCTCTCTCTCGTGTGTGTGTGTGTGTGTGTGTGTGTATTTGTTTGAGATAGGGCTTCTCTATGTAGCTTTGGAACTGCTATGGGGACCAGGCTGATCTTGAACACAGAGATCTCCTGATTCTGCCTGAGCGCTTTACCTCCCTACAATCCTTTATTTACAACCCAGTATTAAAGGCACATTCTATTTTATTTGTTTGAAAATTCTTTAGTGCTGGGACTAGCTTCAAGGAGAGCTACTGATAATCTACAGAAGAAAGCCTAAAGATGAGCCCCAAATGATACAGTCTAGGGATCTTGATTGGATTTGTTTTCACGGCTAGTTAAAAGAATTAAAGGGTGCTTCATGTCTTTAATCCCAGAGCTCAGGAGACAGAGGCAAGAGGATCTCTGTGAGTCTGAGGCCATCCCCAGCTACTAAAAGAGTTCCAAGATAGCTAGGGCTGTTACATGTTTAGAATCGAAAAAAACAAAAACAAAAACAAAAAACATTAAAATAGAAGAAGAGTTAAAAGGCAAAGTGCAACAGGCTGTAGCAGAATTAGCAGTTAAGAAAGGCGTTTACTGGGGGCAAGGAAACATGCATGCAGTACACACAGATAAAAAGACTGTCTGCAGAGAGGGGATTTGGGAAGCTGTAAAATCCAGTCTCTTCTTGAGGCCTGGGGGTTGTAAAACCTCTCTAGAGTCTTCCTGACCTACTTTAGGGTTGGTCAATTTGAAGACAGAAAGGATGGTTGGTTGATTGGTCTACTACAGTTGTGTAATATGTTCTGATCAGGCTTTGAACTTATTAAACCAGTCCATCAGCAGGTGGCCTGCTGACAGAAGATAAGAGCTGCCAGGTTTTTGTCTTAAGTCAGGAGGTTAAGGAAGAAGCTGGCCATCTTGGAAATTCACCATGGTCCATCTCCCTATCTGTCTGTCTGTCTAACTCCTCATCTTTCAATACTAACAAATCACAAAGAAAACATAGGTTTGGCATAATGGAACCTACAGCTTCGTGCATGTCAAGCACGTGCTTTGCTAGCAGAATACATACCCAGTCTCAGATACATGACAAAATATTAGGCTAGGCGACTTGAGCACGCTGCCTTTTGGGAAAAAAAAAAGATTTCTGGGGTATGTTTTTTTGCATGAAGAGTTGGAGCACAGAATGGAAAATACGGAGGCAAGGGTAGCAGTAAAGATTATCACTTGGCTGCCAGCAGGAACCGCCACCAGATTAGGCATGGCTTTAGCTAGGCGAAGCCGGTCACTCCCCACGCCACGCCCAACGCGCAAAGCCCTGTGGGATTTGTAGTCTTTCGTTTATTTACTCCCAGGAGGCAGAGAGACCCTGTTGTACGTAAAAGAATCTCTCTTCTCTGCGTAGTCTCCCTTTTCTCCCTTTCGGGAAGGCCTAGTAGGGAAAGTTTGAAAATTCCCGCGGAGTCGGCGTCCGAGGCCGGAACCCTCGCGAGAAGTCCGAGCCCCACAGCGCGATCTGCGCTCGGCTCCCCGCCCTGGCCGCGATCCTTCCCTCGGCCGAGAGGCTCTGTGTGTGGGGTTCGGGCAGTGCGCCCGGGGTACTGCGCAGAGCGCGGCCCGAGCGGTGCCAGCCCAGTAAGTCGAGTCTCCAGCGGGGAGGACGCGGCGCGGGCGGCGGGACAAGTTCGAAGCCGGGATTGGGCGAAGGCGCTGCCGGGGCCTGAGGGGCCGGCGACAGGCTGAGCGAGAAGTGGCTTCCGCGGGCGGGGGCGCGCGCCGGGTCGTGTCTCCCGGGAGATGCTGTGACGGACCGCACGGAAGCAGCAACGTCGCGGCCCTCGGCGGCTTGGCCCGCGGGCTCAGGTAGGGTGGGGAACCGCAGGCCCGCGCGCCCAGGGCGGGGCGGCCGGCACGGCGAGGCCGGGGCCTAGGCCGGGCGCACCGCCTCGCGGGGAAGCGGCGTCCGCGAGCCGCGACCGGTGCGGCTCGTTCCAGCGCTCGGGCGTTAGTTACATAACCTTGGCGGCCGGCGCCGGCACCGGCACATGGCCGCAGAGTCGAGTCTCCCGGCTGGTCTCCTGCGCCCTGGATCTCTGGCACCCGGAACGAGCCTGACTCGAGACCCGGAACCGTCACGGTGTAGCGGGGCGATGGAGACCTTTGTGGGGCGTTCCCCGCGGACAGCCGCGGGCGCTCTGAGTCTCTCCTGCGTTGGCGTGTGCTCCACATGATCCTGTGCTTGGCTCCAGTGAGTCCTGGGCGGAGAAAAAGTTTGACTTGGGATGCGGGCGGCAAGACTGAATGGATCTGGTATAGGACTTCTATAAGACAACCGTGTCAAGGGCTCATCTGCGAGCTGTAGGCCGATTACTTTTGCCTTTGGTTGCCTTTTGGAGAGTCGGTTATATCTGCTTTTTGAATTGATAGGTACGCGTGGTCCGTTTGAGACAGGTGGTTTTTGTTGACTTTATGGAACCTTTCGTTTTGGTACGGTGAAGGATCGCATTCAGATCTTCACACGTGCCAGGCAAGCGCTCCGCCACTGAGTTGTGTCCCCAGCATAGGATCGTTTGATTTTCGGTTCCTAAAGCAAACGGCAGCCATTCTAGAGGTGTGTTGTGAATAGGAAAATGAGCGTTGTTATTTTTATTTTTGATGCCAGTGATCGAAGCTACCACCTCGAGCTCCACCACCGAGCTCTAACCAAGTCGCTGGGTTTTGGTGCTTTTCTTTCCTTCTTTTTTTTTTTTAAACAGACATTTGGAGACATTTTTTAAAGAGCGTGGGTTCTTTAGAAGAAAATAGAATTTGGTTCTTGATATACTAAAGAATCCGTGGGCTTTTAAGAACTGTCTTTAACTGTCAGCCTCCCGGAAGATAGAAGTTGTTGGGGTGAGTGTACTTATCTCAGATAGTGATGTCTAGTGCTATGGGAAGACTATATTCTGTGATTTAGTTTGTAGTTTTCGTGGTTCTGGGGATTGAGTCTGTGACCTTACACGTGTTAGACTCGGAAACTACTTCTGAGCTACTGTCTTTACTGTTTCTTGGAAGACTGTTACCACTTTGTAGCCCTAGCAGTCCTTGAATTTTTCTGTCCTTGCCTCAGCCCCGGGAATAGATGGGATTACAGGCAGGAACCACTAGTAACTTAGTAGTAAAATGTTACCAGTTTGTAAGACAACCTGATTATTTTGTAAACGTTTAAAGTCGGAGCACAGATGTCCACTTAACAAATAAAATAAAGCCTTTTTAGAGCCTAATTTTATAAATCCAGGAGTGAAGAACTTAGCTTAAAGGTCTCTGTAGCATGTCTATTCTACCCAGCCCTATCTCACAGATTTTCTCTTTCAGCCACACAGACTAGAATAAGACAGGTCCTGGGCTCATATTCTTGAAAAGGTGTTTGATGTTTTGAGGCATGTCAGTTTAACTTTTTAAAATTCTCACATTTCACATCCTGCCCCGGTCTACCACATTGTTTTTCAAGACAACCAAGGCTGTCCTGGAATTCACTCTGTAGAACAGGCTTGCCTAGATCTACCTGCCTCTGCCTGCTGGTGGCTGTGCACCACAGCCCTCATCTTTTTTTTTTTTTTTTTTTTTTTATCTCAGTTTGTTTTTCCACAGTATATGTATCTCTAGCATACATTCCTGTGTCTGATACTGAGATTATGAATGGAATGTAATCTAGGTCAGAATATAGATCTTCCTTGCCCTTGGGGTCTGTCTTTCTCAGCAGTGTTTTAAAAGCACCAGGAACGGTGGTGCATGCCTATAATCGTCGTAGGTGGCAAATGGTGGCAGAAAGCAGGAATTCAAGACCAGGAGTTCAGAAATCCTGTCTGAAAACCAAAGCTCAACAAAAAGTAAAGCAGTGGGTGATCATTTGGATTAAAAATGAGACTCTGCCCACTTGATTTTAGACCAGATATTTATTTAATGGCTAGATTTAGAATTTTGTTTTTAGTCAGTACAATTTAGTTACTTTGGGAATTTGTGTATTTCACTTCAAAAACTGGTTTATGATATTTTGTTTTAAGTTTCTTAGCCTTACCAATTTTGCTCTTCATAATGAAATAGTGATACTTGAAAAAATTGTGGCAGTATATAATGGTACACACCTTTATTTAATCCTAGCACTCAAAAGGCAGAGGCAGGGAGATGTCTGAGAATTTGAGGTCAGTTCTACATAGAAAACCTCTGTCTTCCTTTTTTCTAATTGCAAATTCTTGGCCAATTCAGGTTGGATTTCACTCCAGCCTGACTAGTCTTTTCCCGAGTTTGTAAATCATGAATCTTGACTGAATTCTTCCAGTGTATTTTACCCTCCTCAAGTGGACACTGAGGCTGTTACTGAAGCAGCAGACTAGACGACCTTTAATTTAATTCTGACAGTGTAGGCTTGCATTTAGCTTTTTTAGGGCTGAGCTTTATTTTTAGCTAGGGTCTGCTGTATTTCCTTTGTTGACCTAGAACTTACCATGTAGACCAGACCGGCATGGGACTTACTGGCTGTCTTCCTCATTTTGTCTCCCAGATGCCACTTTTTCTCCATGTCTAGCCTGAGGAGTCTGCCTCTTTGGAACTCAGTACATTAAACAACCAGATGGGGTCACAAGTAGTTAATATTTAAGACCAAAGCCAGCTTGTCTCGCAGAATTCTTACTGTCTTGTCTATCTTCTCCCCCTTCTCCCGCCCCTGTCTTCTCTGCTTTTTATCTCAATCTTTCAGAATGATGCTTTTACATTTAACCAGAATTTTTGGTCTTATTTTATGTGTATGGGTGTTTTGTCTGCATGTATGAAAATGAACCACATGACATCCTGCATGCCTAGTGCCTGTGGAGGCCACAAGGCATTGGATTCCCTGGAACTGGAGTTATGTTGGTGGTTGTGAGCCACCATGTGGGTACTGAGAACCAAACCTGTGTCTTCCCCAAAAGAAATGAGTGTTCTTAACCTCTGAGCTATCTCTCCAGTCCTCTTTTTTGGTTATTTACAACAGAAGTTATGAAGAGACTTTGTTGTATGTTGGAAATTAAACATAATTTAGATTTTTTTCTGTCTGATAAAAGATAGGTATCAGATTCAATTTTGTGGTTTTTGGAGAATCTGGACATTATGGAGTTTTTTTCTTTGTTACTGATAAAAACAACTCTATAAGGTTGAAGATATTAGTTTAGTACTGGGTGTGTTTCCCAGCACAAAAAGGAAAAAGAATGAAGTGTAGAAAAGAGGTAACTCTTAATGTGGACATTCCCTGGTTTGACCTGTCTGTCTGCTGTTGCTCTCTCTGAATGAAGGCTGGGCAGTTAGGTGAATAACATGGAAGCAGTTTTCACAGAATGTGGGAATGAAGGATATCCTCAGGAGGCTTTGTGAATACTTTCTAAGGCTGCTTGAAAGAAATGTTTTCCTAGAAAACCAATTTTTTTTTTTATTTTTGTTTTTTTCTTTTTTTCCAAGACAGGGTTTCTCTGTGTAGCCCTGGTTGTCCTGGAACTCACTCTTTAGACCAGGCTGGCCTCGAACTCAGAAATCTGCCTGCCTCTGCCTCCCAAGTGCTGGGATCAAAGGCGTGCGCCACCACTGCCTGGCAGAAAACCACATTTTTATAAGCGAGACTACATTGGACCCATATGTGTATATTTGTTTTACTTTATTTACTTTTGTATGTGGCTTGCTTTCCCTCATATTCATCTTGACTAGAGATAGTGAAGTTTTCTGTACAATAAAACAAATAATCATAATTATTTTATTTTTAAAAAATATTTACAGTGAAAGTATGCAAGACTTGACAGCTCAAGTGACTAGTGATCTCCTGCGGTTCCCAGAAGTGACTGTTGAAGCCCTCGGAGAAGATGAGATAACACTAGAGTCTGTGCTTCGTGGGAAGTTTGCTGCAGGTAAGTTACATTGCTGAAGATTCACTAATTTGGGATGAGAGCTCAGTGATAAGACATTTGCTGCCTGGCCCTAATCAGTCCTGGGTTTAGCTTAATTGCACTATACATTGATATGCATACCCATGCTTAGATGCAGGGAGAGCTTAGTAGTTCAGAGCACTTGCTTCTTACTCATGAAGACTGGAGCCGGGATGGTCAGCCATTCACAAACCTATAATCTCAGCTTCAAGAAATCTAATGCCCTCTTCTGGCCTCTGAAGACAATCTCATATCCTCATAGAGATAAACACACCCATACTTAAGTAAAATAAATATATTTTTTTAATTACCAATTTGGTTTGTAATATATGTATATGCATTATATAAGTTTCTATTAGTTTGTTTTATATGTATGTTTCTAAAAAAAAAAAAAAAAAACCCAACCTAGGCAGAATATACTTTTACGGTACCTATAACTATGAGTGTAAAACTATGCTCTGGAACACATCGGTAAATTTATGGGACAATGGATTCTAATTGTTTTTCTTATTAAAAACTCATAAGGGGTGTGGAGATAAGATAACTCAGTAAAGTATTTACTATAAGCACGAGAACCTCAGTTCCAAATCTGCAGCAGGTATGTAAAAGCAGGGCATAGTGGTTGTATCTAACCCCAGAATTGCTGGGAATTGTAGGTTTGAAAGGCCTTACTCCCTTGCCAGTGTAGTCAAATTGGGGAAAGACAGTCACAACAGTAAGGTGGAGGGGAGCCATAAAAGATACCCAGAGTTAACTAACTATGGTCTCACATGAACAATTGCAGTTCCACCTCTACCTATACACCTATAACCTCAGCACTGTGTGGTGGGAACAGAAAAGGTCACTGGGGCTTGCTTGTCTGCCATCCTAGTTCCAGGGTCAGTGGCAGACCTGGTTTCAAGGGAACGAAGCAGTACACCCAGGACCTTCCTTTGAATTGTACACTCATTGGTACATGCATATGTCCATACCTATACACAGAGGAACCCTCATTTTCTTACCTGGGAAGAAGTTAATAGTTCTAAAGAACATTTTCCTGAAAGAAGTTAGAATGGTTATTAGAAATTAATTCTAGTTGAATATAAAGTAAGATTATGTAAACTAAGCTGGCATGTTAATATTACATAGGGTAGAAGTGATGAAACAGGACAGTATGCTTCCTTGGGCCAGCTAGTAGAAACCAAAGGAAGCTTTTAGTTCAGCATTGTTAGGACATAGTAAATACCAGGAGTCTACTTGTAGCTGGCCTTTGAGGCGTAAGGGCATGTTGGATTCCTATCATAGGCACATTTTGTTCTCTTTGTGAGAGAAGAAAAAATGGCAAAGGAAACAAAAAAACAGCTAATCACCCAAAACCAAAAGGGATATACCTGCAACCTACTAATGAAGAGATGATATATCAAAGTGTAACAGATATACATATATTTTAAATGTACAAAGTAATACTAGATTCATATTAGAAGATAGTTGGTCATTTACCACGAGTCTCCAAAACTTCCACTGAGAAGAGTTATTTACATGTATTTATTTGTTTTTTTTGGGGGGGGTGAGAATCATATTCTGTGAGGTGAGAGGGCAGCTTGTCAGAGTGGTTCTATCCTCTGAAATATGGATCCACAGGATTGAATTCAAATCATCAGGTCTTTGCACACTGAGCTGTCTTACCAGCCTGAAAAAAAATTTTTTGGTTGTGGTGGTTGTTGTTGTTATTGTTGTTTTGGGGGTTTTGTATGTTTGGTGTGTTTTTTGTTTTTGGAGACAGGATTTCTCTGTGTAATCTTGGCTGTCTTGGAGCTTGCTCTGTAGACCAGGCTGGCCTGGATCCACCTGCCTCTGCCTCCTAAGTGCTTGGATTAAAGGTGTGCATCACCACTGCCCGGTCAGCCTGGAAATCAATCAATCAATCAATCAATCAATCAATCAATCATTCATTCAAGACAGGGTTTCTCTGTTTAGCTCTGGCTGCTCTGGAACTCATTCTGTAGACCAGGCTGGCCTCGAACTCAGAGATCCACCTGCCTCTGCCTTCCAAGCACTGGGATTAAAGGCTTGTGCCACTACTACCTGGTTGAAAATTCTGTTTTTAAAAAGCCATTTTCTATGATGTCAAAAAAAATTGGAGTCATATTTACTATGGGATGCCTAATTACACACAGCAAGTAGTCATAATGTAAAATGAAATCTTATCTGGTTTATAAATTTGTAAGATGTTTTAAGTTCTCAAAATGTATTTGCACAGATTGGTTTTTCATTTTAATTTTTTATAAAGATTTATGCATGTATGTGTTTTGCCTGCATGTTTGCATGTGTACCACATGGGTACAGTGCCCTCAGAGGTCAGAAAAGGGCATCAGATATCCTAGAACAAGAGTTATAAATGATAGGTGGGAACAGTGAACACTCATAACCACTGAGCCATCTCTCCAGTCTTGGTTTTTCCTTTTTCAACAAATCCTGGCCTTAGGCGTTTGCTTTTTTGGTTTTTGTTTTGGGATTTTGTTTGTTTGTTTGTTTGTTTGTAGCATACGTCTAGAATATCTAGCATGCTTTCTTCCTCTAGGGGGACTTTAGGTCCCCCTCCATTTCCCAATCAACTTTGGATGATTGGTTTCTCGTCATCTTGACCACTTTTTCAAATGGATAGGAATACATCACTGCAATGGCTCCTCTGTGCTTCTTGTTACGTTTGTGTGCTGCTAGAGAAGAGACTGTGTAAGTGAAGGCCTTGGGGCTGCAGCGTGCTAAGATTGTTCTTGTGAGCCCCACAGAACACAGGTCCACTATTGGTCCTGGCTGGCTGTGATCCTAATGGAACAGCACTGGATCTTTTTCTACTTAAGGAAGTAAAAAAGGAATCTCACTGAATAAGACCTTCATATATAGCTTTTGTATAGTGTTACATCATCTTTTTCATTTTTCTTTTTGTTATTTTTTGAGACTAGGTCTTACAATAGCTCTGTCTGTCCTGGAACTCACCACATAGACCAAGCTGGCCTTGAACTCTGAGGTTTGAATGCCTCTTCTAAGTACTGGGACTAAAGGCGTATGTCACCACACCTAGCTACGGATATATCTTTCATCTACCTTTTTATAGTGCTATTGTCTTGAATTAATAGTAGTAGTGGTGCTTACTTTGCTAGGCATTCTGGGTTGTGCCATGTCTCACTATTTTCATAAACCGTATATAGTATCCTTCAACTATAAGCTATTGTACTTAGACGTCTGTCTGGATGAATGACTTTTGTTTGAGGCTTTTCCTGGGGAAACAGAACTTACTGCTTAGATACAGAACCCACAACAGACCAAAGTAATAATTACATCAGAGTCCAGCTTGACAAACCAGTGAGTTTATTGGAATTCCTTGCAGGAATATGAGTGAGGAACACTACAGGAAAAGGGGTGATGCAAAGGCTGCTACATTATTGAAAAGCCATTCCAAGCTCATGAAGGTTGCTTCCCTGGAGGTTTCAGTACAGTTTGCCATAGAGACTCTTGTCAGTTCTGGTAGCATTTCCTCCCAGCAGGAGGGGGACCCCATGACTCTTGCAAGTTTAAGTTTTCCCAACTGTGTATACTTTGTTTACTTTTAGGTCATCATGAATCTTCCCTCTTCTGGGTGTAGGGTTTTCATTAGAAGAAAATTGTTACATAGTAATGGTGGTCTCCATGGTAGTAGTACAGTTACTTTGATTCATCTAGTTGCTCATAAGAAAATGTAGGATCTGTTTGGTTTGAGTTTTGTTCTTTCTTGAGACAAAATCTTACTATATAATTCCCTTCTCCTTTTGTCTCTTCACTGCTTGAGTTACAAGTATGTACCATCATTTCTAGTTTAGGGTCTGTGCTTAATTTTCTTTTTATTCTTCATATCTACCCATCAATAAGCAAATGATATTCTGTCTATAAGATGAAACTAGTTGATCCATTCTTTCCACAGAGACCGAGTAGTGTATCATTTCACTATATCTACTCTGCTCTCTTGTCCTTTTTGTTTTCCTATTTGATTTGTTTTGCTTAGTAGCTAGATAACATTAAACAAATTAGATTGTATGTACCTGCTTTGGACTATCCAGTGACTTTAAAGACAGAATACAATTTGAACAGGATTAGGACACAAAGAATAAATCCTGATACTTTCTGTTGTTAAACATCTTCTAAGTTTGTGACCTCTAGCACCTTGTCAGTTCATGGTTTGTAGCTCTTGCTGCCACGGAAGTGTTGGGGTATCTAGGGTGTCCCATGATACCTGGTCTTGGAATCTGCTTGTATATGCTTGTGTTAGCTTTAACTGTGATTTTAGACAAGTTAAAGTGCTTTAGTTTATGTCCTTCTGAGCTGCAGTGAGGAGTGCATTTATGAATTTGGGAACCAATGTGCCCTCTGTACTGCATGGTTTTACTGCTGTAGTTGGTTTTTATTTTTTATTTTATTCAATTTGAGTTACACTGTGCTCTATAAATGCTTTGTTTAAATCCCTCAGTTCAGGAGGGATTTACAATAGTTTGTGTAATAAAGTAACTGTTTATATATGAAAGAGCTAACTACTAGATTTGTTATGTTGTGATGATAGTACAATAAGCAGTGTTTTTGTTTCTTTGTTTTTTTTCCTCCATAGGGAAAAATGGACTAGCATGCTTAGCTTGTGGTCCACAACTTGAAGTTGTAAACTCCCTAACAGGAGAGCGGCTGTCTGCGTATAGATTCAGTGGAGTAAATGAGCAGCAGCCTCCTGTGGTCCTTGCAGTGAAAGAATTCTCTTGGCATAAGAGAACTGGATTGTTAATAGGATTGGAAGAAGCAGATGGGAGTGTTCTTTGTCTTTATGACCTTGGTATATCAAGAGTGGTCAAAGCAGTTGTTCTTCCTGGAAGGGTATGTGCTATTTAAGATACCTTAATAGTTTTGCTTTTCAAGCTGAAAGCTCACAAGATGTGCTTACCTTAAAAACTCATTGAATTGTACGTTAACAATGTATTTTGATATAATTTTCATCTTCAATATAAAGTTCAAAAATTTTTAGGGTGTGTGTGTACACACACACACACGTATCATGTGCTTATGTGGTGATCAGAGGGCAACTTGTAGGACTCAGACCTTTCCTTTACCTTTATTTGGGTTCTAGGCATCAAATTTAAGTTTTCAGACTTGCATCATTGGATAGCAAGTAAGTAGTTTTACTGTCTAAACCATTTTACTGACCCCTTCAAGTTTAAGATGACCAGGCATGGTGGTACATTCATTTACTCCTAGCACTCAGGAGACAGAGACAGATGAGTCTCTTGTGTTGAAGCCAAGCCTCGTCTTCTATGTATATATTAAGTTCCAGGTAAGTCAGAGCTACACAGTAAGACCCTTTAAAAAAAAAAAAAATTATAAAGAGAGTTGGTACCCATCTCTTAAAATATATTGAAATTTAATGTTTGTTTTGCCTGCGTATATCTGTATGCTATGTGTAAGCAATACCCACAGAGGCTAGAAGAGGGCATTGTATCTGCTGGAACTGAAGTTAAAGATGGTTGTTAGCCATCATACGGGTACTGGGAATTGAACCCTACACCTCTGGAAGAGCAGCTGGGCCATTTCTCTAGCCCTGGTTCTACCTGCTTTGATAAAAATACAACTACATCTAATCCGGGGAGTGTGCGTGTGCATTGCCTTTTTTGTTGTTATGTAATTTGGAAAGTGTCTTAGTCACTGTTCTATTGCTATGAAGAGACAATATGACCAAGGCAACTCTTAGAAGACATTTAATTGGGGGTTGCTTACAGTCTCAGAAGCTTAATCCATTATAATCATGGCCAGGAGCATGGCAGTGGGCAGGCATGGTGGGCAAGTAGCTGAGAGCTATCTCCTGATTCCCAGGCAGAGAGATAGAGACCAGGGAGAGAACCTGAGCCTATCATGTGCTTTTGAAGCCTCAAGGCCCACCTACTGCAACAGGGACACAGCTCCTAATCCATGGAGTCTGTTCAAACAGTTCTACTGCCTTGTGACTAAACATTCAAATGTATGGAGGCCATTCTTACTCAAACCACCGCAAAAGGGTAAACTAACATTTTCTGAAATGATTAGCTTACTCTTCTTAGATTGGAGACTTCTGAAGTGGCTGCTGATGAGCTAAACTAAAACAGTATTGGTTTGAGTTACATGCTTAATAATTTTATGATTTTTAAGTTTGTGTTTCAAGCTTCAGTCTACTTCATCTTTAAACAGATAGTTGCATATAAATCAGTAAAAAGATTATATAAACAAAATGAGCCAGCTAGCAAATGACTAGCATAGACTAGGCTGTCAATAAACATTGGTTAATTTTCATGTTTTATTATGTTGAATAATAGCATACTTTTGTAGTATATTTGAGAGTTTCGCTTAGATTCATAAGTGTCATGCAGATTATGGTTCTGTGTAATATTTAAGACTGTTCAAGTTACTCACCTGCCCTAATATCAAATCCTATCTTTTGTACAGTCGATTTAGCTTCTAATCACATTTTGGATCCTAGGTGACAGCTATTGAGCCTATAATTAACCATGGAGGAGCCAGTGCAAGTACCCAGCATTTGCATCCCAGTCTGCGATGGCTTTTTGGCGTGGCTGCTGTGGTGACTGATGTGGGACAGATCCTTCTTATTGACCTGTGTTTGGATGACTTGTCATGCAGTCAAAATGAAATAGAGGCATCAGGTATTCATCTGTTCGTTACTGGGAAACAAAGACTGAGTCTTTCAGTGCTGTGGTGTAATAGAATTTTTGGCTTTTCCAGATAGTGTTTCTTTTATGTGGCCTCAGCTGTTCTGGAACTTGCTGGCTTTAAACTCAGAGCTCTGGATTGTTTTTTAAATGGCCAGTTTTTTCATATAGATTTTTTTTATGCGTACCTGGGCATTCTAGTCTTCTTGGTTAAGTCACTTTATTTTATTGGCGTGTTGATATTACTAAAGAAGACCTTCAAAAATGTAGGGACATGGATGGCTGAAGCAGCAGGATTATGAGTTCAGGGTAACATGGACGGAGTCTGTAAAGCTCCAGGCCCGCTCTGCCTAGAGAATGAGACGCTTTCTCAAGAAAGATGAAAAGAAAGAAATGGTAGAAGTCTAATGATTTGTTTCCAAATATGTACCAAGAAGACCTATTTATTTATTCTTCTGTGTATGAATTTTTCCTACATATACCTGGTACCTGTGGAGCTCTGAAGATGACGCTGGGTACTCTGGGAACTGGAGTTGTATACATGTGTAGGAAGGTCAGGGAATGTCTTTGTGTATTCAGTTCTCTTCATCTTGTCTTTCTTTTTAAATCTTATCTTTTGTGTGCATATATATGTGTGTATGAGGGGACATGTCTGTCATGGTGTACATGTCAAGGTCAGAGGATAACTTGCAGGACGAGATGGTGGTTCTCTTCTTCTACCATGTGAGTCCCAGGAATTGGACTTGGTCATTAGCCTCAGTGACACTCTCCAGTATATACCTTTTCAAGGAATGTCGGAATTGAATTCTGCTGGCCCTTACTTAGTTTCTTAATCTTGTCTCTCTTGTTTTAGACCTTGAAGTTATCACTGGCATCCCAGCTGAAGTACCACATATCAGAGAGAACGTGATGAGAGAGGGACGCCACCTGTGTTTCCAGTTAGTAAGCCCATCGGGAGTAGCCATTTCTACTCTCAGTTACATCAGCAGGACAAATCAGCTTGCTGTGGGTTTTTCTGATGGCTACTTAGCACTTTGGAACATGAAAAGCCTGAAAAGAGAGTAAGTATAACTTTTTTCTCTTGGTTGATTAATCATTTCTTTTAAAATGTAATATATCAGTGATTTGAAAATTAGTATAAGGAAATGACAGTATGAGTAATGTATTGAATTAAGTCATAGTTTGACTTAAGGAAATTATTTAGCATGTGAATTTAGGTTGGTTCTTTCAGAGTTTATAGAACATCTGAGTAGAGGATCAAGATTGGAGGCTGGCATGGAGGGCAAAGCCAGGTCCATGCATCTCTGGGCTTTACAGAGAACCACAGCTCAAAAGGAGAGAGAAAGCAAGGGGGCGCGGCATTACAGTCACTGTGATGACCCGTACGCTGATCGAGTGTGCCTGGATAAACTGCATATGTTTATACTATGAGTTCTTTGAGAACTCTGCTGCCTCTAATATATTAAAAGCGACAGGTTTTTTTTTTTTTGGTTTTTCGAGACAGGGTTTTCTCTTTATAGTCCGGGCTGTCCTGAAACTCACTCTGTAGACCAGGCTGGCCTCGAACTCAGAAATCCGCCTGCCTCTGCCTCCCAAGTGCTGGGATTAAAGGCGTGCGCCACCACTGCCCGGCAAAAGCGACAGTTTTAAGTGTACTTGGTATGTTTTTAACCAATTATTGAATACTAGGTAATTTTTTTTATGCTGTCAAAAAATTTTTTAAAATATAATTTAATTGAAACTTGTATGGAAGTAAAGCAGCATGTAATATTTATAAAGGATGCCAGTGCACATTTGACATTTAAGTTTTCAATTTGTTTATCTACCTCCCCCCACACAGATATATTGGCATGTTTTCTTGGGTGTTTTGTTTTTCTTACAGGCTGTTCTTTGTTCTATTTCTTTTATTAGCTTTGCTTTTGAATTACTACTAATACAGCATCTGGGGAATTGTTATATGTACAGCAATTGTTTTCTCTGACATTGATTTTTGGGCTTATTATGCTTTTAAGGCTGATTATGCAACTTCTTTAGTTTCTTACTCATTGCCTTTTTTGTCATAATTTCTTAGTTGTGTGGGGTGCTGAGAGGTGTACATGTGCATATGGTAGTTAGGACGACTAGTAGGGACCGCTTCTCTTCTTCTGCCATGTAGATCCTAGGGATTGAGTTCAGGCCGTCTCGCCTGGTAGCACATGATTTACAGGCTGAGCCACTTCATAGATCCTCATCTGTGAAGAGGAAATGGACTTTAAACCCAAGGGATAGCTAGGCAGAGATAAGCGCCATCATGTCACTAGCACGGGAGAGATGTAGGTGGAGGAGAAGGATTTGGAGGTTCAGGCCAGCTTCAACTACATAGCAAATCTGAGAGAGAGAGCCTGCCGACATGAGACTCTGAGAGAGCAAACGAACATCAGTGATGACAGACTTCCCATGTGGTTGAGTTGGAATGTTATGGTGGCTTCTCTCTCTTCAGACACTCTTTGAGGAACACGGTATGAGAAGTGACCTCATATGGTGTGCAGTGGTGGAACTCTTAAAAGCTAGTTATCACAGAAGTGTATGCATGGGATTCAGCAGGTGTCAATCCCTGTTCTGCCTGGGAGTGGTAGCTACTGTGGTATGGTCTTATCCTGACTTATGTGTGTTTGAAGGTAAGACAGCCTAGCTCTATTCCCCAGAATACTGAATTTAGGGAATTGTGTAAACAGTGTCTCCTTAACCCAGATTTTTGCATGAGGTACTTATTTTTTTTTCCAAAAATAAAGTTTTAATTTGAAAATAAGCAGTGTATTATTTTGTTTGTTTTAGATACTATACACAATTAGAAGGTGGAAGGGTTCCTGTCTATGCGGTTGTCTTTCAAGAGCCTGAGAATGATCCTCGTAACTGCTGTTACTTATGGGCTGTTCAGTCCACACAAGATAGGTCAGTATGCCTGTGGGTTTAAGAGTTTGTTCTGTAAGGCTGCGGATATAGCAGTAAAGGAGTTAAACTGCAGCCATTTGTTTCTTTTGAAATGTTTGAATTATGTCACCACTGCCAGGTACTTGGGTGGTGCTGCACCTTGTGCTGAGTGTGTGTCGTATCGGGTTCATTTAGTCCCTTTCCTCCGCAGGCATGTTGTAAAGTCCTGTTGTTTTGTAGGGCTTGATCTTTATAAGTAAGTGTGTGCAGGGCATAGCTCCAAAGGTATGTTCTCTGTAGTTGCCATGGGATGATTCTATTCATATTCCTCTTGGCCAGGATTTAGTACAAAGGAAGGTAGGAAATGCAGTTGATATTTTTAGGTAGCTGCATATATACAACTAAAATACAGTTACTGAAGGAGGAATATCTGAGAAATAATATTATGTTAAAAATTGTAGTAGACAGTACCACATACTGCATTAATTACATTTTATACAAACAAGAAAATACAGCTGCAGTTTGCCATATATGTTCAATGTGTTATGTAAAAAATTGGGAGGATAAGCTGTAAGTTGCATGTTTTACTGTCTTGAGCTAATTTCTCTTTCTTCAGTGAAGGGGATGTTTTGAGTTTGCATCTGCTTCAGCTGGCTTTTGGTGATAGAAAATGTTTGGCATCAGGGCAAATCTTATATGAGGTAAGTAGTTATTAGACTGTTTTCCTTTTTTCTCTTTGGTGGTTTTTTTATCGTACTGTTTCTCTTACATTCAAGTTACTACTGTATTCATCGTTAGTGGAAGAAACAATAGTTTAGTGGCATGAGCTTTCTAATGGTTTTCACCTGGTTTGCTCTTACAGCACTCTTAACTTTTTCTAGGTATTTTCCCCATAGCAGAGAAGCTGGACTAGATTCGAGACTGTTACCTAATTGTAATATCCAAGAGAGATGCTCCAACTTTGTTCACTTTAGGGTGTATGCATCAAAATGCTCAGATAGCATATTTTTCTAACTGATTTTCCAGTATTAAAAAAGAAGAATGTTAGTAACAGCTACATTATTTTCAACTGCGGAACAGGTTTTCAGAACTTTGTGTTTAGGTATCTGGACGAGTGTTAGGGAATCTTTGAATGATAATGCTTACAAATTTTTCTAGGGAAGATCTCAGCCTTTTATTAGCTTAAGGGTCTCTGTGATTAAGAGAATTTTAAGCTGAGAATTTTAATTTAGTGGCACATGACCTTTAATCCCAACACTGACAGAGGCAGACATACCTCTGTGAGCTGGAGGCCAGCTTTGTTCACATAGTGAGTTCCATGGCAGTCAGAACTACACAGTGAGACCCTGACTTAAAAGGGAGCAGTAGGTAAAACTATTTTTGTTTATTGAGCAAAAGATTCTCTTCTGATTAAGAATTAATATTCAGTCTTTTGAGGCAAAGCAAGTTCTAGGACAGCTAAGTTTATGTAGAGTGACCTTGTCTCAACAAAACTTAAAACAAAAAAAAACTATTCTTAAGAATTTACATGAGAATGCAGAAATGGATTTATTTGCTGGCCTCCAGGGCATTCCAGTTTATACTCCAGCTACTAATGTATGAGTGCCTCCATGTTTTAGAAAACTTTTACAACATTTACTGGTGATTATTTTTAAGAACATAAATCTAGCTTGCTATATACATTTATGGTTGTATATCATTTTATAGCCTTCATAGTGATTTGTTCTCTTAAAGCAGTTGTGGGAAAGCTTTTAGCATGGGAATATTTCATTTTAGAACACTCTTAGAATAATGCTAAAGTTTCTGCATATTTTGTGTTACAGGGATTAGAATACTGTGAAGAAAGATATACGCTGGATCTAGCAGGTGGCATGTTCCCCTTAAGGGGACAGACTAGTAATACCAAACTGTTGGGATGCCAGAGTATAGAGAGATTTCCATCTCATGGTGACAGAGAAGAGAGTGTGAGAGAAGGTTGGTTAACCTAGAGTTAATATTTCTGACAGTTGAAAATTAAGATCCTGTATATGTCATGTATTCGGGCTTTTAGGTCTTACTGCTCTCTGGATTACTGTACAGAACTGAAGAACTGATTGCATCAGCTAGTGAAAGACCCTGTGTTTGAATCAAATTAAGCACAAAGATGGTGTCCATTTTAATTAATGTAATTTGTCTTTGGATGTTTTTCTCTTTTGCGTTTTTTGTTTTCTTGAACCATGTGTTCCCCTAGCCCCCACCCCGTGTTTTTTTTTTTTTTTAGTACTCCTTTCAGAGTAAAGATCCAGGGATAGATAAGTTCGGCATTAATTTGTTTTCCATTCCTTTCTTTAGTGGTAACCTTTGACAGTTTTGCCTTTCTGAGTCCTGCTTCTTCTATAGATGAAATGATAATCTATGCCTTTTATAAGGATTAAAGGAGACTGTCAGAGATTCTTTCTTTTAATATGTTCACTCATCCCGGGGATGCACTGTGTCATAGTTCCCACTTTTAAACTTGTGGTTCTGTTTTCACATCTAGAACTTAACACGCCATCTCTCTTCTTACTCCCTGTCCGTGGCTTCCTTTTCCAGTTGCCATTAGTCTTTACTTTTACTGAGGTCTTTACTTTTCTCCTCCTGCTGAGGCCCCTTCTGGTGCCATAGTCTAGGTATTTGTATTTGTTTCACCGTTTTATGGCTAGATATACCTTTCTCGACTCAGTTCCTCTAAAGAATTAAACCACAATGCTTTAAGATGTTTATTGTGGGTATTAGATTAACTACTGATGCTAGCTGTCTACGATCTTTGGGTGAATATTTGTTGAAATCACTTTGTAGTCTGTTGTCTCAAAGTTCTAACTTCCTGATGTCTAAAGGGGAACTCAATTGACTGAAATGGTTTTCATAAGTCTACTGAAATATTAATTAAATGTTATTGTCATTTTTTTGTGGTTGTGTTTAGGTTCTTCTGTTTTTAAAACATAGCTGGATTTTTTGTTTTTGTTTTTTTTTTCTGTCTTGCAGCTCTGTCCCCTGATACTAGCGTTTCTGTCTTTACCTGGCAAGTGAATATATATGGACAGGGAAAGCCTTCTGTATACTTAGGGCTTTTTGACATAAATCGTTGGTATCATGCACAAATGCCCGATTCCTTAAGGTATGGTTACTATGTTTTCTCATCCCCTTTTCCCTCAGATATTGTTATGTATAGTTGGTAGTGTCTCAATGCTTTAAAACTTTTTCTTTTAGATCAGGAGAATCTCTGCACAATTGCTCTTATTTTGCATTGTGGTCATTGGATTCAGTTGTAAGTAGGACTTCTCCACATCACATCTTGGACATACTAGTACACGAGAGAAGTTTAAGTCGAGGGGTTCCTCCTTCCTATCCACCTCCAGAGCAGTTTTTTAACCCAAGTACTTTTAATTTTGGTATGTATTTTCATTATTTTTGTGAAAAATAATGTATAAATGTAGTATGTCAGTTGTATGTTGGTTTATTCATAGTATCTCCTGTTCATACCTCACTATCAGTTATAACTTAACACAACTTCTTTGATACATATTTATATGTACATGAGAAATATAGTATGTTTATAAATTGCATTTTGAATTTTTTAGAAAATGTCAGTTAATGTGTTAGTAACAAAGCTTGTCACTATCTCAGAAGGAATTTATAGTTGCTGGGCAATGGTGACATACGCCTTTAGTCCTAGCACTTGGAGGCAGAGTCAGGCAGAAGTTTGAGGACAGCCTAGTCTGTAGACCCAAGTTTCAGGACAGTCAGGGCTATACAGAGAAACCCTGTCTTGATAGGGAAAAAATAAAGAATTTATTCTTGTCCAATGTGCTTGGTGCATGTCTTTAATCCCAGCAGAAGCAGGAAGCTCTCAGAATTTAAGGCAGCCAGGAATATACAGTAAAACCCTGCTTTGTTGTTGTTGCTTTGTTTTGTTTGTAAAGAGGGGGCTGATTTATTCAATATAGAAATTTAATTACATACAGTAAACATTTAATTCAAAATTTTAAATCTTTTTTTCTTTTTAAGATGCCACTTGTTTGTTAAACTCTGGGGTTATCCATGTAACTTGTACTGGATTTCAGAAGGAGGTATGTATGAATTAACAACATGCTGAGTGTGTGTTAGAGCTGAAGTTACATACTAGAATATGGATGATTCATGTATTGATACGTTCCTGGTATTTGTATAAGCTAATTCATCTTAAATAGTAGTTCTTGCTAGGTTTTTGAGTTTAGCATCTTAATAACTTCAGTTTTAATGACAGCTTGCTAGAAGAGTCATTGAACTGTTTTTAGCAGCTTTATGTGGATGCCATCTACTTGAACTCCAAGAAAAAGTGAATAGGTCAGTGTCTTATGGCATCTTCTAGGTGCTTGTTTTGGAGATGGGAATCTCACAATATACCAGTGGCTGTTAGCAGTTCACAGAGATCTGCTCAGGCCCCTAACTGCTGGAGTTAAAGACTGCCCCACAACTGCAGCCTGCCCTTTTGTGTAATGGCCTGGGAGGGCTTCTTGTTTCTTCTGAGAAAGAATACAAAATTGACAGAAGAATGATGCAAGAATAGTTTGTGATGTGCAGACTTTTTAGTTGGCAGTTAGCACTCACATAGTTGTGCTATTACATAAGTGCAGGTCTCTCACTAAACACAGGCATGTTTGTCTACAACTCCTGAAAATACTCACGGTGTGTCTTATTGATGTCATTGCATTCAGGAATCTCTAAGCTCCTTTACTTGATCATGCAGTCTAGTCAGGCTTTAAGTATTTCTTAAATTAAATTTGAATTGATGTTGGCTGATGTTGGACTAATTTCTTTATTACAGACTCTGACATTTTTAAAGAAATCAGGACCAACTCTTAATGAAGTCATTCCTGATAGTTATAATCGATGTCTTGTTGCTGGTCTCCTCTCACCAAGACTTATTGATATTCAACCTTCCAGTTTAAGTCAAGTGAGACATTTAACTTTATTCTTCTTTTGATTTTTTTTTTTTTTGTCCATTCTGTAGCCTCATGTTCTAGGATCAATAGCCATGGTCTTGGGATTTGACTTCCACGACCTCTAAACTTAGCTAGAGAGATGCTCAGTGGTTAAGAACACTGGTTGCTCTTGCAGAGGACCAAGGTTCAGTTCCATGGAGACTCACAACCATCTGTAACTCCAGTTCCAGGGGATCTGATGCCCTCTTTTGTGACTGCTATAGGCGCCAGGTATATTTATCCTACACATATGTACATGTCAGTAAAACACCTTTAAAATAAGTCACAAATGGAGCTGGGTTTGCCAAAGCAAGCATGTAATTAATTCCTAGTTACTTAGATAGCAAGATCAAAGTAATTTGTACAAGACTTGTTTGTATAGTTTCATGAGACTCTATCTTAAAATAAAAAGGACTGACTGAGAATATATACCTCAGTGGGAGTGCTTATGTCCTAGGATCCAGTACTACTAATGAAAGTACAAACAGCACGGGTTTCCTTAGCTGACTAGTTAGCTTCGTTGTCCATGGCATACAAGTCTTCTGTGGGTGGTTGGGTTTCCCACCTCCTTACAATGCCGGGTTTACTTTGGTTTTGTCTGTTCAAGTGGCTGCAAGCTTGTGATTCTCCTGTCTTATAATCATGTGTCCGAGTGCTATAATTTTACAAATTTGCTTTATTGTCTCCCTGACGATAGCCAAACTAGTGGCATAGCTGTTTTCCAGCCTTTCACTGCCTGTGATTTCAGAGTGTCTGTTTTTTTTTGTTTTTGTTGGTTTTTTTTTTTTTTTAACACTGTTTAGGAAGAACAGTTAGAAGCTATATTGTCAGCAGCAATTCAGACAAGTTCCTTGGGGCTTTTGACTGGTTACATCAGAACATGGATAATTGAAGGTAACAGTTTCACTTTGTAAAAATAGAATGAATAATTTATATTCTTATAATTATAGTTCATTGTTTTACTTCTTAGTTAACCTTTATGCATAAGATCATTTTGAACTCACATAAAGTTGTAGGGCATAGTAAAGAGTGAATCTGTGATGCTTTATACCAGTTTTCACCCACCCCCAGTGGTGCAGGCTATCTTGTGCAGTATCACAGTCAAGATCCTGAATATTACCCCCGTATCTACCTCCCGGAGGTAGTGTGTCCAGTGCATGAGCACTAATTTGTTGTACTGCTACAATTTTGTCATATAGTCATAAACCAGATCCTGCAGTGTGTTACCTTTATAACTTTTTTAAGTCCCTGAAGATGCACTCACACCAGTGTGAATGTTTATTCATTCTTTACATGTGTACATGCACATACACATACTCTGCCCCTGTAATGTTGAAAGAACGTTATAATCATTTGAAAGAAAGCTCCCTGTTTTTTAATCATTTCTGTTTTATTTCAAAACAAAACAAAACCTTTGTGATTACAAACGAAGGTTAATACAAACCAAGTACTAACCAGTGTTCCAGAAATGTTTTTATATCTTAATGGGATTTAGGGGAATACAGCACTTTTGTGTTTGAGTTGTTTGGGGGTTTTGTTTTGTTTTTAAGACAGGGTTTCTCTGGCTGTCCTGGCACTCACTCTGTAGACCAAGTTGGCCTTAAACTCAAGAGATTTGAATGCCTCTGCCTCCCAAGTGCTGGAATTAAAGGCATGTGGCATCATGCTTAACATGATTTGGGATCTTTTAAATATTCCTTAATATGGTAAAATTTCTTAAGTCAAATTTAAAAAACTACAGGCCTTTTTTTGTTGCTGTTGGTTTGGACCATTTTGGGGCCTGGTGGTTTTTAAGATTACTTGCCACTTTGTATATATTTATATATATTGCTGCTCCTCATAAGTCCTCTTCAGCCTCCTTCCAGTTTTGCACCTTGAACAGCACTGCTCTTAGGATGAGGAGGGGCAGCAGGATACATTTGGTAGACGTTAGCATTAAGTTCATTACCTTGGCCTTCCTACCTGGCTCCTTCTATAAAGTTACTAATTTTCATTTCGGAGTTAGTAATTATTCCTTTTTTTCTTTTAATTGTAATCATTCTTTTTTTTTTTTAATCTTTTTCCTTTTATCAATACAAATAAGAACAACCAAATTCTGCTGCTAATCTACGGTTTGTTCTTGAATGGACATGGAATAAGGTGGTTCTCACAAAAGAAGAATTTGACCGGCTTTGTAAGTATTAAGTCTGGATTCAGGGTAAATTTTAATAGTTAGCCGGGCAGTGGTGGTGCACGCCTTTGATCCCAGCACTTGGGAGGCAGAGGCAGGTGGATTTCTGAGTTCAAGGCCAGCTTGGTCTACAGACTGAGTTCCAGGACAGCTAGGGCTATACAGAGAAACCCTGTCTCAAAAAAACAAACAAACAAAAAAAAGTAATAGTTAATTAATCTTGATGTTGTAATCACATATAGAACATTTGTTTGAGACAAGGTAGGTGTCAGTAACCTCAGCAGTTGTGAACCTCATTAATTCAGTGGTTTTCTCAACCTGTGAGTAGCAACCTCCCGGGATAACTGACCTTTTCACAGGAGTCACATACCAGATATTTATATTACTATTCATAACAGTAGCAAAATTACAATTATAAAGTAGCAACAAAACCAATTTTATGGTTGGGGGCGAGTCACCACAACATGAGGGACTATATTAAAGTGTCTTGGCATTAGGAAGGTTGAGAACCATTGCTATAATCTATGCTTGCCCTGAACTTGTGAACCTCCTTTAAAGTCTGAGAGCTTGAATTCCAGGCAGGAACTACCACGTCTATTTCAGTAGTAGTAATTTTACTCTTTTGGGAATGTAAAATCTTAACATTTACAGTCCTAGAAGAAAACATTTATATTAAAAGTGTATATTAAACAATTTTTAACAAAAGTTTTTTACTGGAAATACATTAATGAGTAAGCTACATTGTGTGCCTTCACACCAGGCTGTAAATCAGCCCTTGTTGCAGTTTGAAGTCTTTGTGCTGGTTAACAGAGAACTTGTGTTGTAAGGTGATTTGGGTTTTGATTTTGTTTTTGTAAGGCCTTAGGATAATTCAAGTGCAGATAAAATGTTATAAGAAGAAAATTAGAAACTGATTTCAGGGACTCAGAAATTATGATGTTATGTATGTAAATACACATCTTGTGAAATGTAGTAGTTCTGAAGGTGCAGACCTATGTAGTTCAAAATCTTACTTTGACTCTAGTTTTATATTGCAAACACTAAATTCCTAGCTTATATTTGTAAAGTCATTCTTTAGAGTTAACAGACTTCAGAAAAATGCGTATTGATTATAAATTACTATGCTGAAACTAATGCTGTATGTTATCCTTGAAGGTGTGTCTTTGTTTGATGGGTCCTGTCGTTTCATCGACCCACAGACCATCCAGTCCATCCAGCAGTGCCATTTACTGCTTAGCAACCTTAATACAGTCTTAAGCTGTTTTGCAATGGAGGCCCAGGGTATCACTGAGAGAGGTATATATACAAATGAGTGTTTTACTAACTTAATTTACATACAGTTCTTGTTTACTTGTTAAGACATTATGTAAAGAAATTTTCAAATGGAAAAAAAATTAACTTATGTATATATATGTAAGGTATATGTGAATGTGAGTGCCCACATGCCGTATTGTATGGATGTCACAAGGCAATTCTGATTGGTTCTTTTTGCTTACTTTGTGTGTATCCTAGGGATTGAACTTAGGTCTCCTGACTTTTTTAACAGGTACCTTTTACTCACTGGACCATCTTGGTGGCCTTAGAATTCACTGCCAGTAGAATTTAAAATTTGAAGTTAACATGTATTTATGTATTATTGAAAGAAGTGACTGGTTTTTTGGTTTTTGTTTTTACTTTATTTTGCCATTTCAACAAAGGAAAAGGTACAATTTCATTTAAAGGCCTAATTTGAATAGTCTATTTTCAGTCAATTTTAATTGCATTTTGCATGAAACAGTTAATTGTGGTTTGCATAAAAATGCCTATTTTAGTCAGTGAGTTATCTTAACATTTTAGAGATTTGCTTAACCTCACTTTGGGTCAATGTATACTAAATGCAGATTAAATTATATATGCATATTGTTGAGTATTCTGATTTGTCATTTGTGGTTGATAAATCAAAAGTTACACAGCCAGTGTTAATTCTTTTTTCTTTGTAGGACTGGTGGACTTGAGCAATAAGCATATGGTTACCCAGCTTATCTGTCAGTATGCACAGATGGTCTTATGGTTCTGTCACTCTGGGCTTTTACCTGAAGGCTTAGGTAAAGTGTTTAATATATGAATAGTTATTGAAACATCCTAACTCCATAATGTTACTGTTCTCTTCTAAGCCTTTATACTATTCTCTGTTTTTGTCTCTTCATTGCCTCACAGAAGCTATGTATAACCATTGAATTAACATGTAAAATGAGATCACATTTGAGAAAAAAAACATGGCTTCTAAAAATGTCACTACCTGTAACTTAGATCTAGAAACTGTGGTTTTTATAACCTAATTTACTGATGTCTTCAGTATTTCTATTGTTGTTTTGTTCTGGTTTAGGAAAGGGTCTCACTATGTGTCCCTGTCTGGCCTGAAACTCATATAGATAGACCAGGCTAATCTTAACAATCATAGTTTCACCTGTCTCTACCTCCTGGATGCTTGGACTCCCCAGCATGCCTGGCATGTGTAATGTTCTCTTAGTCTGTCTGTCTGTCTGTCTGTCTCTGTTTTTCGAAACAGGGTATCACTTCAGCTCTGGCTGTCCAGGAATTCACACAGATCCGCCTGCCTTTGCTTTTTTAGAGTAACAGGATTAAAGATTATTGATACTTGTCATCAATTAAATGTTTCTTTTAATCTAGTAATATAAATACTGAGAATTAGAGACTCGGAATTATCAGTATTGACTTTATTATAGAGTTTGTTTGTAACAAAGACTCAACTCCTTGTGTTTCTGGGAAGGACAGTAGATTTTACTTAATTTGCTCAACATGTGCAACTGTTGCCTTACCATTTTACACTTCACTTCAGTAAATAGTAAATTGTATTTATTAGAAATTCTTTTTTGTACCACAGGAATAAAATTATTAGGAGTACTTTCTAGGCTGTTAAGATCCACCAAACATCTTTGTTACAAACTTCTTGTGTTGATTAAATTTTAGCCAGACTAGGCCAGGTGATGTGATGAACACCTTTAATCCAGCACTTGGGAGACAGAGGCAGATCTGTTCTACAGAGCAAGTTGGAGAACAGCCAGGGCTGCCTAGAGAAACCTTGCTTCAAAATAAACAAATAAATAAATAAATAAATAAAATTTTAGGAAGACTAAAAATTTATTAAATAATTACAGTAAGGTCAGTTATAATCTTAAATTTTGAGATATTTTGGCAATATTACTTTTTCTTTTTCCCCAACTTTAATAGAACTCCCAGATGATGCTCTGCAGCTGTCAAGACTACGCTACAACTACCCTGTAATTGAGAACTACTACGCCAGTCGTCGGCAGAAGTGGGAGCGCTCGCCCAGGTACAGGCAGCCTGACTGCAAGACTCACTCGTGTAGTCAAGAACTGTCCTAACCGATGCTCACCTAATGCTTACTACTCTTTTATTGAAAATAATTTTTATATAAGATATTTAAAAAGATAAAATAACAAACCTGCTTAGGACACAACAAACAGATGAACAGAAAAACTTAAAGAGCCAAAAAGCAACAACAAAACAAGAGACATGGACAAGCACAAAAATCCCCTAAAAAAACATCATGCATAAAAGACTGCAGGATAAGAGGAAAAGTGGGCAGACAAAGCATTATGAGTCAAAAAGTACTGTTAAGTTGGTTTGTGTTAGTCATCTACTGCTGGGCATGGGGCCTTGCAGATGATATAGTATGAAGGTATATATAGTGACCCTAAAACTTCCACCAAGAAACTTCTACAGCTGATAATACTTTCAGCAGAGTTAGCAGGGTTCAAAATTCATACACAAAAATCAGTGGCCTTCCTATGTACTAAAGAAACAGTAAGAAAGAACTTGGAGAAACAGTGCCTTATACAGTAGCCCCATAAAACAATATCTTGAGGTACTCTAATCAAGCAAGTGAAAGATTTGTATAACTAAAACTTTTAAGATACTGAAGAAAGAAAAGAAAGGTCTCCCATGCTCACTGACCGGTAGGGTTAAATAATAAAAATGGTATCCAGTCTAATGTCTGCATTTTTAAACTAGAGCACACTATCATATTTCCTAAATAAAATGATATTCATAAGTGATTTGTCAGAGGAACTTGTAGAACCACAGTTTTGCCTCTAAGAACTCATTTGGAAAACAAGATGGGAATCTCCTATTCAGCAAAAACTTGAAAATATATCATGAATTGGTTATTTTTAGCAGTTTTCAAAACTTCAATCATGTTTTTCCTTTTCTTATTTTTTATATTTTTCTCATATAAGTTAAAAAGAATAGCCTAATAATTGCTTTGAAATAAAATTACAGCAGAAGGAATATTTAGAATCTGATCCTGTCTTTGGAATTAACCAGTCTTCTTCCTCAGATTGGAATGAAAGAATTGTAGAAGACCAAGTAACATTTAGGGTGTGGTTCACAAACACAGATTCTGGATGTCTTAAGTCAGGTCATGAGCTGTAGAATAAGCTGTAATGATAACACATGGAATTTTAGAGTTCATGGTGCTTTAGTGTAACTATTCCAAGATAGTGAACATGAACTTGGGAAGTTGCCATGGTTTTGGTTTTAGTAGTTTTATTTTGTTGTATCTTGAAGCAGTGAGTGCTGAGGTGTTGAATTACCTGTGGTTGAGCATCCCCCTGGCCTTGATTGTCCGTCCTTAGTCTTCCGTACGGAAGAGACTCTGCTGGGGTTTGAATCGTGCACAGTGCACATTTTGGTAGCTGTTATTTTGTGTGTGTCCTTTGGAGGATTTTGTACATTTTCTGATGCTTTATTTGTAAGCTGCAATATGAATATAAAGTCAGATGTGTAGAGTACTTGGTATGTCTGTCTGACTCTTAAGACTGTTTAAATAAATAGAAACTGTTTCTGCTGTTCATAACAGCAGGCCAGGTAACAGGCGGGGATGATACCTGTTTGTCACATTGTAAATGCTCAGAACTACATCGCTGAATGAACAAACCAGGATTTAGCTCTGAGCTGGAACAGAAATATTTGCTACTAGGGGCTGCTAATAATTCATTCAGAATGGTGGAAAATAGGGCAGTCAGCCATTTTGCTGGTTTCTTCCCTTCACTGGCTGGTGTGGTAATGGCTGAACTGGAGGCAACTTAGGGATTTTTCCTGACCAGTGCTACTTTATATCTGCATCCCAAAGTCTGTTTTTCCCTCCCCTGTCTTTTGATAGTTGTATAGTTTTTAGCATTCGATGCTTACTCTTTTGATCTCAACAGTAACAATGATGCAGCTCATCACACTGGTTCTGTGTTGCAGAGGAAAGTGGAACCACGACTGTTTGATGATTGATGGACTAGTCTCTCAACTAGGAGACGAAGTTGAGAAGTTGTGGAAACGGGATGAAGGCGGCACAGGAAGATATCCTCCTGCTAGCATCCATGTAGGTCACAGTGACACGGAGTTAGTTACAGAGTGGATGGAGGGGAAGAGTTGACAGTTCGTGCCTGACATAGGCTAGGGATCATGGAACATGAAGAAAAGACTAGAAAAGATACACTGACACTTTTATCTTTTTCTTTTATAGGCATTACTTGATATATATTTATTAGACAACATTACTGAAGCAAGCAAACATGCTATTGTATCCTTTAAACTTTTCTTAAGTATTTGTACATTACTGAAATTCCAGTAATATGACTATCAAATATCTAACCCCAATCTCATGAAAAAATTTTTTTTTATCCTTACCTAAGTGTGTATTCTTAACTCAGAATTAGTGGTCAGGCTGAGCTGGCTGATAATAATTGTAAAAGTATATCAAAATTACTGTTTTGGCCTACTTATTCTTGGAGTAACCTTGCCTTTTATCAAATTACCAAATGTGTATAAAATCAGCTGCTCTGAGACTGGCAGTTGAGGTGAGAGGAATCACCGCATGAGTGGTGGCCCAGGCTGAGCATTTGATCTCCAGCACTGAAAGAGGAAAGTAAAAGCCACTCAGAATATTGCTGGGAGCAAGCTTCCATTCTCAGTGGAGTCCATTCATTTAAGTGCTGAAAATACATAACATTGAAAGTTTACTCGAGGGACTAGAGAGACAGCTAAGTAGGTAAAGTGCTGGTTAGATAAGCATGAGGACCTGAGTTCAGATTCCCAGCACCCACAGAACAGCTAAGAACAGTGTGTGTGCTTTCAGTCCCAGCCTGAAGGAAGCAGAGATATGGATTAATTCTATGGCCTTGCAGGCAGTCAGTTGAGTCACATGGTAAGATCCAGGTTAAGTGAGAGAGACTTGCTCAAAAAAAAAGTGAGCAATGTCTGGTGAGTTATCAGCTCAGTACCTGACTTTTGACCTCCGAGTGCATGTGAGTGTGCTATAAGCACACGGATACACACGCGTACAGCATATACTTTTACAATTATTATCAGCCAGCTCAGCCTGACCACTAATTCTGAGTTAAGAATACACACAAACTAGTTTTTAAAGTTAGCTTGATTCAGCATTAGGCATTATTTGAATCCTGTGTATTTATCAAATTGAAAAGATAGTCTTCAGGAACAGTTTATGTTAGGTATGGACTTGAGGAAAGAGCAAGTTTCATATCTTGATCCCTGTTTTGTGACAGTGTTTGTGACAATGTTGTGAATTTTTAATCTATTTTGTGTCATAATTGATATAAGATATTTGATGTATTTGGTTAAACTGCCAGCTTTGCCCAATAGAGTTTGATCTATAACTTTTTAAAAATTTCAGATTACTTGAATTTACTGTTTGTTTTAATGAACAAGTTGTACTTTTGTTCAATCTTTTTTGTTGTAGCAGTAAAATAGAATAGATAAGTAGGTTGGCATGGGACTCCTTTTGCCTGTGTTATAGTAAACTATATTCATACCTGGATATCCCTAATAGCCTTGTAAGTTTCTTAAACCTGTTCATTCCGCATTCTGCTCTCTATTCTAACTATATACAGGGGTTTTCCTCTTGTTTATTGTCCTTAATGCTTTTTTTAAAAGACCATTTATTTGCTGCTTGATATTATGTATTCCTTTCCAAATAAAACGGATACCCCCATTGAATCTTTCCCAACTGCCTTTGCTATTTCTTGGGGCCAAGTTAAGCTAGTTCAAGGATTTTGGCTGCTAGATCATAACGACTACGAGGTAAGTAACTCACTTGGAATATACGCTTTTGTAGGTTTTTATACTAGGAAGATGTATAAATAGGTTAATTTTGACAGAAGATGTTGTCTTTTTCTAGAAGTAATACAAGGGCTCACTGTAACTAGTGCTCTCACCTAAGCAGCAAGAACACCAGTTCATAAACTCAGGTTACTTGCTCTTTAAAGAAGGGCACGTACAGATGGATGTTTGGGAATGGTGCGACACTGACTGTTGTGTTAAGAGACACATGTGAATTCTGGTATGAGCCAAAGAAGACAAAATTTGTTAGTTGATGGGTATGAAATGGGTGTAGGAAGGATTCTATTATAGGAGGTCTCAAAGGTGATATTTCTGATAAACCTTGAGTCTGTGACCTCTGCCATAGATTAGATACTCTTACATTTACACTTAATTTTGATTTCTGTGATTTAATACTACTTGCCTTTTAAGATCCAACTACCTTGTCTAAATACTAAAGACTGTATTTCTGTTTAACACTTGTAGAATGGTCTAGACCTTCTGTTTCACCCAGTTACTGCAAAACCTGCATCATGGCAGCATTCAAAGATAATTGAAGCCTTTATGAGTCAGGGAGAGCACAAACAGGCTCTCCGGTATCTTCAGACAATGAAGCCAACAGTGTCCAGTAGCAATGATGTTATCCTTCACCTTACTGTTCTTCTTTTTAACAGGTAAGTACATCTTAAAAATAGAAGCCCTTGGTCACATGTTAAAAAATGGAATTGATAGTAAAAAATATATGTAGTCAGGTGATGTGGCATATACCTATAACCTTAGAAAAGGGGGAGATACGACCAGCCCTGGATACATGAGACCCTGCATCAAGAAACAAAAAATGCATCATTTTACATTGGTCACATTACAAGACAAATACATGGTGCCTTTCACCAAGTTAGAAAGTGTGTGCTTGGCTGAGACCACTGCTGGCTTACACTACTGCTGCTTATTAACCACATGGGTTGTCTATTGCATGAACAGTTTGGGCTAGATATGGACTTAAGAGCAGGTTTCATATTTTAATGCTTAAACCAGATTTGAGCAAATAATTTTTTCCCTCAAGAGCTTTTGTTTTTATTTGTATATTTGTGTGTGTGTGTATGCTTTCTATGTGTACATACCATGTGTGTGCATGTAGAAGCCAAAGGTCAGCATTGAGTGTCTTCCTCTATTGCTGTATACTGAATATTCTGTACTACCACCACCACCACCATCAATCACTGGCTTTGTAAGAACAGAATAAAGAGTGACTTAATGTTAAAAATTGGAGAACATTACATCAGTGAAGATGATTGCTTTTTTTTTTTTTTTTGAGAGAGAGTAAAAAATACTTTGAAAAAAGTGGTTTTAGTTTCATTAACTTATTTCATTGTGCAAGAAACCATTATCTGCATTTCTGAGCAAAAGGAGAGTAGCCAGCAAACAAAACAAAGTGCTTTACAGTGAGTTACTCAATAAAATAAAGTTCAGGGCATGTCCTGTAGTAAACACATAATTACTTAATTTCCCTCATAAACCTGCATCTCTAATCCAAGTGTTTATTCTCTGTCCTTGAACCATAATAGTTACGTTTGGGGAATCTGAACTTGAATGTAAAGGGTTAGGCCACATAGTGATCTTTCCAGCAGTCAAGGATTGGTTAATCATAGTTAAAAATAACAGATAGCTGAAACATACAAATAGTAACCCCTTCTCTGAGACTATGCTATGTAAGTGAGGTAATCCTGTGGCTTTTTAACCACTTAAACTGCTTAGTAATTATGCTAAATCCTTAAAAATGCTACTGGGATTAGCCAGGTAGCTCCAGCCAGCCAAAGCGCCTGCTGTGCAAGGCTGATAAAGCTAAGCACACATAGAGGCGCACATCCACATGGACACACATCACAGATGCACATACTCACAGAGTGATAGGGCAGATGGCCGTCAACAGCCAGTTACCAGAGCATAGTTTGTAAGACGATAATCTTTGGACTAGAATAGATTTTAACTTTTTAAATAGTACCACCTTCTCTTGCATACTTGTCATTCCAGCATTTGAGAAGTTAAGCTAACCACTTTCTAAAATACAATTTATCCTCTCAAAGTATTTCATGAGATTAATGCCTACCTTGCAATATTTTGATTGTGAAATGCATAGATGCCATTACAGCTGTTTGCAGAGTTGTGATTTATTAGCAGGTGGTGATAGCGATTGATAGCCATTGTATCATTGACTAAACCTTGAAGCTTGATTCCTGACTCTGATCCCTTCTTTATCTAAAATGTGTGCTTGTAGTTTCCTGGTTTTGTGGTGGGTGCACAGTAGTTAGGAAACTGTCAGCATTGCTGTTGCCTGTTTAGGTTTTTTTCTTATAAAAATACGAGAGGAAAGCCCTATGTGCACTATTAGCCATTGTTTTTTTTCCTTTTCCTCCTCCCACATCCAGTAGATTGACTCTCCCATACTCTGTAGCTCAAGTTGAATGACTTTTAGCTTCTTCCTTCGTGAATATAAAAATGTAATCAACATGTTCTACATTACCTAAGCTTGTCATCGAGTTTTTCTTCTCCCTGTCCTTTAACAGTCTTAATTTATAGTAGAAAGTTTAACTTTTTTTTTTTTCTTTTGGTTTTTCAAGACAGTGTTTCTGTGTGTAGTCCTGGCTGTCCTGGAACTCACTCTGTAGACCAGGCTGGCCTTGAACTCAGAAATCCGCCTGCCTCTGCCTCCCAAGTGCTGGAATGTATGTTCTTTTTAATACAGTCAACTTATGTTTTAAATATTAGGTAAGCAAGAGTTTAACATTTTAGTGACTTTAGCATATTGTTTTTTATTATGATTCTTTCACAGTATTGTGATCAAATCAAGGACATTACATTTGGTAGGCAAGCATTGTCTCTGAATATACTATCAGCCCAGCTTCCTATCCTTGTGTAGTAACCACTATCATGAATAGTTACTGTAATTGTGTCAACCTTCTGTTATTTACACCCTGTGTACCTTTCCTGTCTTCCCCTTTCTAGGAAGGAAGGGTAAGGTTCAGGTAAGGGTCTCATGTAGTCAGGCTACCTTATAATATACTGTGTAGCCCAAGCCTTTTCTCGTACTTGTTTTGTGATTCTCCCTCTAAGATGCTGAAATTGCTGGTATGTGCCTCAATTCCCATGCCTGGTCTACATGGTCAAACCCAAGACTTGTGCATACTAGATAATTGAGCACTCTACCAACTGAGCTAACCACCCCCAGCCCATAATTGCTTTGCTGGTGTTTATGTAGATTATATTCCTTGCAGTTGAGTTGCTGCTTTCCAGCCTACAGAAAATTTTAGTTTTCATAATTAAGCAAGACTCTAAAACAAGTCTGTCAGTGAGATCAAGTTGAACACATTATTAAGTTCTCTCGCTGTGATAAAATACCATGACCATGGCAACTTATAGAAGAAAGTTTATTTGGGCTTGTATTTTCAGAGAATCATCATGGCAGGGAGGTATGGTGGCTGGAGCATAATGCTAAGAATTTACATTTTTTACCAGAAGCATAGAGTGAGCACTGAGAATGGCAGCTCAAGGCTTTTAAATATCAAACCTACTTCATCTGGCAAGACCTCACCTAACAGTGCCACCAACTGGTGAGCAAGTGTAAATACATGAGTCTGTGGGAGACAGTCTTACTCAGATCACCACAGACAGACTATAACTGCCAAAGTGCACTGATTCCCAGACTGATAGTAGGAGACTCTTGAGTAAGAAGCACTGCTTTATTTAAGTGCTGTTACTTCTCACAGAAAACAGTTCAGAGCTTCCGCTTGATGTCTTCAACTGTTATCCAAGTGTTCCAATTAAATCTTGGTTTCGATCAGCCAAAGTTACCTACTTCCAAGCTATGCTCCTTATCTTCCCCCTAAATATATTGTTACTTTATACACACAGGTCTCCACAATTTTGTTCCAATGTTCCATTTGTGCTAAATGCCACTACCACAGTATCGTCCTGACTTTTCCATATCATACCACACAGACTTTCAGTTCTTTTTGCATGTTAGCTTCTACTTTGATTTTCTGCTACATAACACTTAAATATTAGGAAGCTGCTTAAAATTGAGGTTCCTAGATACAGCCAGACATAATGGTAGACACCTTTAATCCCAACACTGGAAATGCAGAAGCAGACAGATCTCTGTGAGTTCAAGGCCAGTCTTGTTTACATAGTGAATAATAAAACACCAGAAGCTACAGAGTGAGACCCTGTCTTGGGCAGGACTCACTGTGTATCAGTATTGAATAAAACTTTCGAGTACTTTTTAGTTGCATGTGTAATTATCTTTTGAGATCCTATAAGTAGGTGACTTTGCCACATGCTACCTAGCTTTTTGAAACTTTGATACTGATTCCAGATGCATGGTTGAGGCCTGGAACTTACTGCGACAGAACTCAAACAGAGTAAATGTAGAGGAATTACTAAAGCATGCTTATGAAGTTTGTCAGGAGATGGGCTTAATGGAGGACTTACTGAAGCTACCGTTTTCAAACACTGAACAGGTAACCACTGGACAGTATCAGCTTAACAAGAAGTTCACAGTAAACGGAGAGTTTACAAATCTGTTTTGTTCTTCCTAGGAATGTTTAGTGAAATTTTTACAGTCCAGTACCAGTGTTCAGAATCATGAATTCCTTCTAGTTCACCATTTACAGCGGGCCAATTATATTTCTGCATTGAAACTAAACCAGACTCTGAAGAATAATCTCACGGTATGATTAATGTTGTCCTGTTGTGTGAAGCAAAATAATAAGGGAAACTCAAACCTTTTTTACTTATTTTACAAGAACTTACAGTTTAATGACCATTTTGAAAGCTTTACATTGTCCTGAACTTGGAGATCTATCTGCGTTGGTGTGGTTATTATTGAGAACTGAGTGTTACTGCCTATATTATCTGTATGCGCGATTATATTCTGATAGGTCCTCTCACTCAGAGAAAATGAAAGAAAGACTGCTAGAGAGTAGGAGTTGTATAGTACAAAGAGCACTGACCTTCGGAGAGTACACTGATTCTTAGCTTATTTTGTGCATATAGGACACTGTTTGGCCCTTGCTCTTCTGATCTGTAAAATGATTCTTGAGAGCTTGTCTGTCTGGTTGCCATATCCAGCATGGCTCCAGGGATGGACCTCACTGAAGAATTGAGAGAATGAAAAAAATAAGCAGAGATACATAGAAAAGCTAGGATCTGCTGGACTGGGCCCTCTTAGGAGGAGACCACAGCACCCTGGAAGCTCAGCAGTTTATTATATATAGTTGAAAAGGAAGAGAAGGGCTCCTGCAGAGCTGAACTAGGAAGAGACTACTAGATACAGATGAACGAGGGGGTAGGATTTATAGTATACAGCTAGATCAAGGAAGGCAGATTGATTTAATTTTGGTAGGAACAGTCTTCAGGTCAAGTAACCGGAGGAAGAAAGCTACATTTTCTGCACACAGTATTAACATCCACAAATGGACCAGAGGAAACCTTTGCCTCTACACCTAATGTGTGTATGTAACGGGGAGGGTACTGGCAGAGGCATTTCCCATTTTCCCATGTACACGAGGCCTTTGGTCTTTGACATGGTCATGGCCATGTCAGTAGCACATGTTCACTCAGAACTTACCCAGCTTGGGGCTTCCTCTGCTCCCACACGGGAAGGCAAAGTGTGTGTTACATTGTTTGTATGAGTTGTGAAGTATCAAAGTTTGGTAGTAAGTATTTGGAATGTATAAATGAGTATACAAAGAGGTAGATGAAATCTGAGCTGGAAAAATGTAGATAAAGATACTAGATGATATTCATAATTAAATTTTCAGTAATCTATAGCAGCATCTAAAATTAGGAAAATTAAAATTTTAAATCATGTATTTAATAGAGTGATCGTGACCCTCGATTGCGGGAGAGATCAGTGACTCGAAATTCTATATTAGACCAGTATGGGAAAATCCTACCTAGAGTCCAGAGAAAATTAGCTGTTGAGCGAGCTAAGCCTTACCATCTGTCAACATCATCAGTCTTTCAAGAAGGTAAGAGTTCATTGTAGAATGCTTACACTCAGGCTAGGGAAAATACAGAGTGATTCCGTTCCTGGGGTCCTCACCATCGTCCCTTGCCTCGTGCAGTTAATCACCTTTTTTTTTTTTTTTTAATTTAAATAAAAACCTTGTTAGAGATGGAGCTGAGTCTTGTATTTTTATTTTTAAGTTTCTAGACCCAAGCCATTATCGGCATTTCCAAAGAAAGCTGTAACTGGAACAGTGCTAACAAGATCTACGTTCATCAGCAATGTGCTATCTAAAATTGGAGAGGTGTGGGCAAGTCATGAACCTAGAAATGGCACCTCACTTTTTAACAGGTATTCTTTTAATTAACTATTGATATTTACTTACTTTGTGTGTATAGTGGAGGGCATGCGTGTCAGTGCGCGTGGAGGAGATCAGAGGACTATGTACATGAGTTGGCTCTCTCCTTCCACCATATGGGTCCCAGGAATCAAACTCGAACTATCTACTAAAGTCCTGCTACACATCCTCTTTCCTGAGCTGCAGCAGTGTTCCTCAGTGAACCTTCATTGGAAGCAAGTTTATTACCAAATGTAAAAAAAAAAAAAAAAAAAAACTTTCTTTTTTTTTTTTAAAGAAAACTTTGAAGTTAGCTACTTTGTTAAAGAAATTTTGTCATTAAGTTTACATTTTACATTTTTTATTCCTGTCTGTGTGTGTGTGTGTGTGTGTGTGTGTGTGTGTACATGTGTACATGTACACATCTACCTGCTGAGCCTTCTTTTTGGCCCCACTTCAAATTTTCAAACAAGTGTGTTTATTGTTGTTGGCAGCAGTGCAGAGGTAGACAAAGTGAAGAGAAAGAAACGCCCTTCTTTCCTCTTCCATCTCATCTCATAGAACTTTTGCCAGTAACTCGTGTGACACATGATTTAAAATTGACTTTTTCTCTTCTCTGTAGTCCTAAAGCAGAGCAGCCATCCCCTGCAGTGCGCCCCTTCCCACATCCAGAGCGTCCCGAGGCCTTTGTCGGAACACCAGTTTCAAACACATCCCAGAGGATTTCTAGGTGAGACTGTCTTGAACAATTTTGAAAAAACTGTAATTGTCTTAAACAGGTGCTATTCCTAAGCATTAATTTGAATACCTTCTGTTCTTATTTGGGAGTATAGTTATTCTATGAAATTATAAATCAAATTATACTTAACATTTCTATTTACTTACTTCATGTGGCTTACTGAAAATAAGCAAACTATATTAAAACCATAAGGAAAACAAGCTGACAAACTGTTTTGTTGACCACTAAAATAATGTTGACTCTTAGTTGATGAGGTGAAGCTTTCTTCTGGGCCTACTGAAGTGTCTTGTGTTGCTTAGGGGCAGTAATAGTTGATCTTACCCCAAAAAAAAATAAAAGTCTTAAAGTCTTCTTAAAATATGAAATTGTGAGGTTGGATGTCATGCCACATGCCTTTAATCCCAGCACTTGGGAAGCAGAGGCAAGCAAAACTCTTGAGTTCAAGGCCAAACTATTCTACAGAGAGGATTCCAGGACAGCCAAGGCTTGTTACACAGAGAAACCTTGTCTCAAAAAAACAAAACAAACAAAATGAAATTGTGATTAAGTATATATTTAAGAACATTGGGTACCTGAACTGTACTCATACTCATTACTAACAGAACATTTTTTATTCTGAACAATAATGCCTATTCATTATAAATTTTAGATGTTTTTTAGATTATTTTATTAATAACAAAATTGAGTTTTTACACTAAAAATAAGGTACTTGGCATTAAAAAAAAAAAGCCAGTTGAAATCAGACCTTTCATAATTGGGCATATTCTAAAGCTTGAAAGGACTTACTCTTTGGATTAGATTTAGTTAGATGGTCTCTGTTGTCTCAGAGGTGATAGGAAGTTGCTGCATATGAGTGTAACTGATGTTCTATCTTTTTCATGAGCTGTAGTTATTTCCAACAAGCCACTGCCTCGGTCCCCTCAGACTGAGCAGCAAAGAGTTGAACAGAGGCAGTGAGAATTCTGGAGACAGAGCCTCTAAGATTTCAGGTCTCCAGTGTAATGAAAAAGCTAATGGTAACTCAGGACAGACCCTGTTGACCGTGGCTATATGCCTTCTCTGAAAATGAGTACATTCCCCCGTTCTGTGTTTTCTATACTGATTTGCATTATTGGACAAAAAGTAAATACATGAAGAAGTGGGCCAAGTAGGTACTGTCAGTCAACCATGGCATTTTCACAGGCTTACATGGTAGTTTCTGTTTGTTTTGATTATGTATAGAAAGTCCATTATTTGGATCACACCAAAAAGTTGAGGAAATCCCAAGACCTAGTATGATGCTTAGCATTTTCTTTATATAACATTTCTTAATCAGAAATACTTTTTTTCTTGATTTTTTTTTTTAAGAATAATTTTAGTAATTGTGTGGAAATGGTTTCTGTAGATAGTTCTCACTGAGTTGAGTCATTTTTGTCAACTAGGGTTTCTTATTTCTGGCAGCAACAAAGCTGGTCACTTTTTAAGCATTTTCAGCTGAGATTTATTTCCCTTGCATTTAGTTCCTTGGAGGAACTAAATGATGCTGGTTTTTCGTGTTGGTTGGTTTTTGTTTGTTTGTTTGTTTGTTTGTTTGAGACAAGGTTTCTCTTTGTAGTCCCGACTGTTCTAACACTAGCTCTGTAGAGCAGGCTGGTCTCAAGGATCTGCCTACCTCTGCTTCCCTAATGCTGAGATTAAAGGCGTGCACCACCACTACCCCAGCAAGGATGCTGATGTTTATCACTAAAAATTAAAGCCGTTAAGTTGAGGGTGATGACATATGCCTATAATCTACCACTTGGGAGCAAGGCCAACAGGATTAGGAGGGAGTTCAGGGCCATCCTTGGCGACACACACACACACACACACCAACACACACTTCTCAATAAAGCACAGTGAAAACAGCCTGTACAAGTGGTCCACTAGATACTGACCTGGAAATTTAAATCACATGTAAAGCGAAGGTGGGCAACTGGAGTTCTTTGTTTTTAAATTGTTATCTACAATTCCTAATTCTGTTTTGCTTTTGAAAGAATTGCAGACTTTTTAAACTAATGCTGGCGGTTTTCTTACACTAATATACTTACCTAAAATTAGGTTTACATGTTATGATGTTTAATAGTGAGGACACAAATGTCTGTCTATTTCTATGTAATTACAGATTACTGGATTTGGTTGTTCATCCCGTCGCCCAGCCTTCTCAGTGTTTGGAGTTTATTCAGCAAAGCCCCACGAGATCTCCTCTGTGTCTGCTATCCAGTTCATTACCATTAGGTTCACAGTTTAAAAGGCCACATCAGAATACCTCCAGGCCTTCAGAATTACTTTTACTTGAAACTCCTCTTATAGTTAAGGTTAGTATTACCTGTCTAGTATCCTAGGGAATCAGCATTTTTTTCAAGTAGCACATAGAAATTAAACTATTTATAGTATAATTCTGAGTATTTGAATGTTTTAATGCTTACAGTTATAATTTTTTTTCTCTCTTTGATTTATTTTGTTTTCAACTTTTCCAAGAGATTTTTTTCTCTGTGGTACTATCTGGCTGGAACACAGAGATCTGCCTGCCTCTTGTCTCCTGGGCTGGAGTCAAGTATGCGCTACCTGGCTATGCTTAGAAAATCAAAGTACTATATTTTTACTTTTTAAACAGCTGATTAAGTTTATACTTTTCTGCATAATATTAATAATGTTTAGAGAATAACACAGGTCTGTATATGATTGTCAAAAATTGTCCTTTTTAAAATGCTTTTGCATTTTTGAATTATTTATATGTATGTAATTATTGTTGATCATCATCAGGTTTGTAATTTTTTTTCTTCCAAATACTTTATTTTTAGTCTGATTTTCACTTGTTTGCTTTGAGCTACTGTTGTCAGGTGACTTTTTAAAAGACTTTTCTTCTGTCCTTGATAAATTACTACGACGAAAACAAACCCAAACTTGTAGTGACTGATAGTAGTTGGCATATACATTTTTCATTTTCCAAGTATTTTTGCATATGGGCTCTGTTGTTAGTTTGGTTCTGCGTATGGGTTTTTGTTGGTTTGGTTGGTTTTTTATTTGGTTTGGACAGGACCTCACTAGTAGCCCAGGCTGGACTGGAACTTAGTTGGCAGCTCAGGGTGGCCTAGAATTTGTAATCCTCTTGTCTTAGCCTCCTGGATTTGAACCAGCTTCTTTTTAAGTTTCTTGTGTAGTAATATGGACTAAGTCTCTGGGTTGGGTTTTTCTTTTTTTTCCTTCTTCATTATTTATTGTGTTGATTGATTTGAGGAGGAGAGGTTCCAGCATTTATAGTAAACTAAGGAATTCTTACTTTCCAAATGCTGTTATTGAAATAGTTAAAAAGAGCTTGATGTGTTTGTTAGGTCCTGACTTGTAGTTCTCCTATTCCTCACTTGTAGTTCTCCTATTCCTGACTTGTAGTTCTCCTATTTCTCACTTGTAGTTCTCTTATTCCTGACTTGTAGTTCTCCTATTCCTCCCTTTTAGTTCTCCTATTCCTCACTTGTAGTTCTCCTATTCCTCACTTGTAGTTCTCCTATTCCTCATTTGTAACATAATATTTCTGTTCCTTTTAATTCTCTTTCCCCAAAAATCACATTTTTATTTTCTCAGTGGCTAGAATCAGAGGAAATCAAAACAGGTTAATTTGTAAAGCAGTGAAATGAGTTGTTAGTTAGATTAGCCTCCTCTAGTCTGTGACAGTGGTTCAAGTCATACACAGTCCTCTCACTTGACTTCACTCACTCTCTTCACCTGTTTTACAAGTGTTAAATAATTACACTATTTTTTTTTTTTTTGGAGCTTAATTTAAAGAGGAAAAACTCAGGGCCTTTAAAGAGATGGTAGAAAAGCTGGGTGGTGGTGGCGCACGCCTTTAATCCCAGCACTTGGGAGGCAGAGGCAGGCGGATTTCTGAGTTCGAGGCCAGCCTGGTCTACAGAGTGAGTTCCAGGACAGCCAGGGCTATACAGAGAAACCCTGTCTCAAAAAACAAAAAAAAAAAAACAAAAAAAAAAAAAAGAGAGAGAGAGAGAGTTGGTAGAAAGAATTTTGTCTAGTAAACGGAACATAAAGTTCTAGTTGAATCCTGTATTTTCCTACCAAACTGAAGTAAAAATTTTTTGTGTGTTTTGAAGATAAAAATGTATGCTCTCTGAAATTACTGTCTACACTTGTGTGACTTACTTATAAATACTAATACTGGAACTCTTTTTGCTCTTCATCATAGAAAGCTAAATCTCTGGCTCTCTCAGCTACATCTTCTGGATTTGCCGAGTTTACTCCTCCATCCATCCTTAGGTCTGGTCTTCGAACAACACCTTTAGCATCTCCCTCTCTGTCACCTGGAAGGTCTCTCACTCCACCTTTCAGACTCAAAGAAACTAGAATTTCATTCATGGAAGAAGGCATGAACACACACTGGACTGATAAAGTAAGTATGATTAACATAACTGAGGTTTTTTTTATGCAATTTTGTGAATAGTCTTGAAACTACAAAGTAGATCTAAAAGAAACCTTTAGAATATGGGCTAAGCCAATATTTATATCTTCTATAAGTCAAAATAGTGAGTTTGTGTGTGCGTGTGTGTGTGTGTGTGTGTGCGCACACACTCATGCATGCACATGTGCTCCTCCTTCACTAGTACACTATTAAAAGAGCTGAAAACGATGTATTTGGATAGTTGGTGACATCTCTTGATGGTTTGGTTTTTATCCAATGTCTTGTTGCTTTCTCTGCCTAATTGATTAATACATTGAAAGAATGTCGGTGGATTCCCACTTTAGTTAGTATTAATAGAAATCTACCCACTTGATCATTTTTTATCTCTATCCTGTACATTGTGTTTTGTTTTAATCAGTGACAAATTATTCATTAGAGAAATGTTAACAAAATTTTTAGTTACACATCTAAAGGAAGTTTCTGAGACTAGGAAGTGTGGAAAGGATGGGTGGGTATGGTTAGTGTAGACAGTTGGGAACTCTGATGCTTTCATGTGCTTTTTCTAATTCCAGGCTACAGATGACCAAAATGCAAAAGCATTTGTTAGTACATCTTTCCATAAATGTGGACTCCCAGCAGAAACTGAATGGATAAAGACCAGTGAAAAAAATACATATTTTCCTCTGGATGTCTCTGCAAAGGGCCCTCAGAAAGTGGTTGCAGACTCACAGGACACCCATTCACGAGGTCCAGAGAAACTGGATGTGAGCAAAGAAGACAGCACGACTTCCACCAGGTCAGACCAGACCTCCTTAGAGTATCATGATGCACCGTCACCAGAAGACTTTGAAGGGGGCCCTTTTGCGTCCCCCAAGCCAGCAAGTTCTTCCACTGAACTAACTACTAATTCAACTCTACAAACAGAGAAAGAGAATGATAAAGATTTGTTTGAGTCAGAAGGTCCTCCTTCAGCCATAGAGAAACAAATAGGTAGGAATTCTTTGTGCACGTTCTAAATTGTCGTCGTTACCCACAGTAAAATTTGTATTAGAATATTTTCTACCATAGGAAAGTGTCAAGACTAAATAATTTTCTCACAGTTTACTAGATCCTAGACAAGGTTTTATTTCAGCTTATGAAAATAACTTGCCTTCTTTCATAGGCAGGTTGAGAACTTGTATGTGCCTGCCTTTATTGTGCCATGGCGTTTACAGAACAGCAGCAGGCATGTTGAAGGAAGGGCTGGAACACACTGCCATCTGCCCTGAACACGTCCAGTAGCTATGACAAGTAGAGTAGTGCCAAGTGTATAAACTGGGGGACTACTGGAATTTAGACTTTTCTAATAACCTGTTTGCTAGAAACCAGGACTTCAGTTCTACTCTCTGCCCTCACCTGTGAAATAATCACATGAAGGTCACAATAAATGTCCTCAGGCCTGTGAACCTATTGTCTTAATATTTTTTTAATCTATTGAAAAATATGTTACTTTTCAATGATGGGGATTGATCGCTTATTTAAATATTTTGTGAGCTTTAGTAGAAAATCGCCCTCTGCTCACCATACATAGTCCTTGCTGGCTGTCGCCTATTAGTAGTAAGTACACTAACTACAGTACTTGCCTGTGCACCCGATAGAGTGTGGTGGACTAAATATTGACAGACACTTCAATGCAACTTGGTTAATACCGCTCTGGGATCTGGGGGCCAAGAGAACAGCAGAGAAGGAGACTTGGTTTAGAATCAGTGGATCAAATGCCTAGTTTAGATTATTGAAATTATATTGAGCAAGTTTATATAAGGTATTTCCTTAGGTCTGTAAAACTAAATACATACAGTAAAACTCTGTCATCTGGCTGGGGATAGATGTAGCTGACGTAATTGACCTAACATGTATCAAAGCCCTGGCTTCAATCCCCAGCACCAAGTTAAGCACATAGGGTAGAACTGTAATCCTAGCACTCAAGAGCCCAAGAACCAAGTTCAAAGTCATCCTCAGCTGCATAGCAAAACCAGCCTGGGATATATGAGACTTTGCCATTCCACCACCCCCTTCCTTCAAAAGTGTGTCATAAGTAGATTCTCTTTGGTGTTTATGGCCTAGGCTGAATGAAGATTTTGTAACAGGTGAGTCTATTTAGATTGGGATGTCTTTAGCAAACATAGACATTAACATTAATTGTTCTAAGAACTTTAGGATTCTGCTCATAAATTTAAAAAAAAATGTGTCTAGAATTTTGTGCAGGTTTTTTTGGTTGTTTATTTTTTTGTTTTGTTTTTTGTTTTCTAAGATAGGGTTTCCCTTATGTAGTTCTGACTGTCCTGGAACTCTCCATGTAGAACAGGCTTGCCCAGTACTGCATTCTTTTTTAATGTGCTGTATTCTAATAAAATAGTTAGATGGTCACTATTAATAGGGATTTTATAGCAGTATCTTTATTAGCTATTTCTGCAATATTAAGCAGTCTCAAATAGAAGTCTTTTTGGAGGGTATCAGTATAAACCATAGAGTGAAATAGGCAACCTCTAAACATGGTTTGTGTTCTGAGCTAAGTGTGAATTAATGCTACAGTTTTTTTCAACTACTTCCTTGGATGTTGAGAATTGAGTTAATTTAGGAAGACCTGTTAGACCCACCAAAAGGGAGAAGTGGGAAGTTAAAAGGGGCCCTTAAGCTAGGCCCAAAGGGTTAGAAGAAAGTGCTAACAGCCTAATGCCAAGGAATTAAAACAAGAGAACAAAAGACGTAAGTCCAGCCATTTCCGTAAAGGTATTGACAATGACCTCATCTGTGTGGCTTACAGGCACAGGAGACGATGCGGTGGAAGCATTTTCAGACTTCAGTCTCCTCGACCCTGTTCAGAGAGCTGAAGCTTCTCTTGGTGTGTCGTCAGTCTGTGAGGGGTAAGCTTATGGGAGCAAAGGGGAAGAGGTTGGAGACACATACAGCTTGTTGGTTAAGAATGTACTGCTGAGGCCAGGCATGGTGGCACACTCCTTAATCCTAGCACTTAAGAAGCAGAGGCAGGCAGATCTCTATGAATTCAGAGCCAGCCTGGTCTGCAGAGTGAGTCCAGGACAGCTAGGGCTCTGTTACAGAAAGAAACCCTGTCTCGAAGAAAGAAATAAAGAACAGTGTGTACTGCTCTTCCAGAGGATCCAAATTCAATTCTAAGTACCCACTCTGGGCATCTCAAAACTGCCAGTAATGCCAGCTCCAGGGGACCTGATGCCTCTGGCCTCTTCAGATCTCCTTACATACACACACACACACACACACACACACACACACACACACACACACACATGCATATTTAAAATAAATTGGGTTGGAGAGGCCATCATTTACAAGTGCTTGCTGTTCTTTCATAGTACTCAGGTTCTGTTCCCAACATCCATATATATGAGATGCTTCACAGCTGTCTGTAAACTCCAGTTTCAGGATACTGAGTTCAGGTCCTCAGCATTTATATAAAATGATAGTGTATGCCTGTGGTACCAGTTCTGGGCCTTGTTGGTTCACCAGACTAGCCAGTCACTGAGCTCCAGGTTTAATGAGAGACTATCTTAAAAAATAATACAGAAATCATAGATATCTGTATCCAAAAAAAAACAAAGACCCAAACTTGATTTTGATAGTCATTCAAATATATGCTCAAGAAATACCCGCAAAGCCAAGGGGTACTAGATGATGTCATCAGTGCTTGGTATCTGAAACATGGTCTAGTTAGGTGTGGTGGGTGACTCAGAACTGTCAACAGGAGAGGCTGAGAGAGGAATGTGAGTTCCAGGTCAGTGTGGGTTATTATAGGGAGACTGTGTCTCCAGCAGTGAAGAGAACCCCCAGGCTAGTAGATTGGTTCTACTTCCTAATTATACTCAATTGTAAGGTTACATTAAAGTATATACCAACCCACTACTTCCGTTATGGAGTCAGCTGTCCTAATCGTACGGTCTCTGGAGCAATACATTACCTTTGTTTAGTTAAACTTTTGAGTAACACTGCTGTGGAGGATAAACAGTGACAGCTTTAATTCTTGGAGGCACTACAATCAACTTAATAAGACTAGCACACATAGAACTTCAATTTGTAAGACACAGAATAGCTCCTTATGAAGGAGCAGTGGGTTGTTTTTCAAGACAGTTTCCTCTGTATAGCTTAGCTCTCCTGGACCTTATTCTGTATGTAGACCGGACTGTTCTCAAATTCAGAGATCTGCCTGCCTCTGCCTCCCTTTTCTACCACCTGGACAAGTTGGTTATTGGGTAAGTTGTGAAGATTAGTTGCTGAGTATTTGTCATCATTACTATAAATATTGTTACCTGGATAATCTCCACACACAAAAAAAATCTCTGCAAATGTTTCAGAGACTGTTTTCTTGGGAGGATAGTTTGTCCTATCTTTAAGACCCAGCATGCTTTAGTTGGAATTTGGAGACATGCCCAGTGATGGATAACTGCCGGGGTATTCTACAGCTTATTGTCTGTTCAAAGTCATTTATCTTAATATTTCCAGTTAGTACTAAAGCACTGATGCTGAGCCTAGCAAGTCGTGGGAAATATTGGCCACTTGACAGACTTACCTAAAAAATACATAGTTCTAAAATGCTTGATACATAATTTTATATACTTACAGGCACTTAAAAATCATTTTATTTGTATTTTTAAGGCCATAACACCATTTTTTACAAAAGAGTAAACTAGAGGAAAATGGGAGAAAAAAATGCATCAGTGTTTCTAATTCTCTCGTAAATTTTATAAAATTTAGAGTGTTCTTTGATAGTGGGTTCTGAATTCTAGTTTTTATAACAAAGTAGCAAGTTAGAAGAAGGTGGAACAGGTGGAGTCTCATTCACTAAAGTGTGCATTTCTGTTTCTCAAGGGAAACCTCCACTTCAAAATCCAAGACATCAGTTCTGGATGGAATACTGTCTATTGAGAGCCGAACCTCTATACTTACAGCAGACCACAATGAATGTATGTATCATTTAGGGCTCTGAATCAGTACTTTAAAGAATATTATTAGATTTTTCTTTTCTCAATTCTTCTCTGGCCAGCTTCCAAGGAGTAAAAGCATTTTAAGGATACCATCTATCAAAAGAAACTCTTAAGAATTAGGGACTTTGAATTTTAATGAACATACTTTCCTTTGGAACATGAAAGAATGGCAAAATAAATTACCTGTTCATAGCAGTTTATTCAGGGAAATCAATAAATATATTACATAAATCAAGTTTTAATATAATCACTTTGGTTTTATAAAAATCTGAGAATGGTATTTTTATTCTGTGAGTTCGCAGTTGAATAGAAGGAAGAGACATGCAGTCTCTCCTCACAAAGACACTCCTGATGTTCCCGCTCACTTGCTCTTCTCAGCACTGGACTTGGGTGGCATTGTCTACATCTAGAGCCCATGCCTCCACGGTCACACCTCCACGGTCACACGTTTTGCTTTGTCACGGTGTGAGTGACATCTGGAGCAGGCTTGTGCATTTTATCTGAAGGTTGAGAACTTGATACACGGGGGCTGGAGAGGTGGCTCAGAGGTTAAGAGCACTGAGTGCTCCTCCAGAGGTCCTGAGTTCAATTCCCAGCAACCACACATGGCTCACAACCATCTGTAATGGGATCCAATGCCCTCTTCTGGATTTGTCTGAAGACAGTGTACTCATATACATAAAATAAATTATTTATTTATTTATTTATTTTAATTTTTATTGTTTTGGTTTTTTTCGAGACAGGGTTTCTCTGTGTATCCCGGGCTGTCCTGGAACTTACTCTGTAGACCAGGCTGGCCTTGAACTCAGAAATCTGCCTCCCTCTGCCTCCCAAGTGCTGGGATTAAAGGTGTGCGCCACCACCGCCCGGCAATAAATCTTTTTTTTTTTTTTTTTTAAAGAAAAAAGAAAGAAAGAAAGAAAGAAAATGATATGTACTGTGTATGGTGTCTCAAACCTTTAATCCTAGCACTGTGTAAACTTTAGGCCATCCTGGTCTACATGACAGCTCTAGTGCAGCCAGGAGTACTACATATAGAAACTGTCTCAAAAACAAATAGGAACAACAAAAAGAAAGTAAAATGGAATGTATATATTATAAAATAATCTAGGGAAGATTCTCAACACGTAAAGTAAAAACCAGGTTACTCGTTTTTGGCTCTGTTGTTACCAGTTTACACTGTCTGCTTAGATCTGTTGTGCTTTGGAGAGAGGAGCTAGTGAGGTGACTACAAGGTACACATCTGAATGAGACTGCTTTGGTTTCATAAGTCGGGTCTGCACCTCATTGGAAGACTGAGCTATTCCTGGGTGTGTTTTGTCTGATAAATACTGTTTTCATGTAGACTGTGTAGTAGTGCTTGGCACTCAGTACAAACTAACACATCTCTAGCTAATGCTGTCTGCTGTTACAACTGTCATTACATCATCTGTACATTCAATTTTTAAAAAACTTTCACGTTTAAAGTATTTAATACTTTTCTATAGCAGTAATACAGGGCAAGACATTCTGTCCTTTAATATTGTATTCTGTCATTGAATAAATATGTTCTATGCTGAACTTTACTAATTTTTGGTAAACATTCGATCACAATATTTTTGTCAGGTATTGTTTTATTTCATTAGTGGGTGTAATATTTCTCTTGGTTTAGACCTAGCTTAGAAAGTCAGAGACCACCCACAGACTTTTTTTTCCCCACAGACTTCTAATACTTTGTTTCTCCCAGTAAAGGTTAATGTGCTTTCTGTATTGAGAGAGGGCAGTGGGTTATGGTGGCAAACACAGGTGAAAATCATCTCTCATTGAATTAGTATTTACAGTCTAGGAATATGAGCTCATTAAAAAGTATAGCATAGCCGGGCGGTGGTGGCGCACACCTTTAATCCCAGCACTTGGGAAGCAGAGGCAGGCGGATTTCTGAGTTCAAGGCCAGCCTGGTCTACAGAGTGAGTTCCAGGACAGCCAGGGCTACACAGAGAAACCCTGTCTCAAAAAAACCAAAAAAACAAAACAAAACAAAAAAGTATAGTATAATCAAGCTAAACATAGACATCTTTTTTCCCTCTTAAAGTTACCATGTTTATGTCATTCACAAATGCCAAGCCTCATATTGACATAAAACTTAGACAAGAAGAAACATGAAAGGGATTTTCTTTTTAATTGGACCATAAAATTATGACATCTGAGAAAACAGATTGCTACAAAAGGAAAACACCCATCCATTTTATAGACAACTGTGAAGGTCTCTTGCAGAGTCCTGCTATTGAGGGTGGCTAGTTTTCTAGGAGTCTTGAGTCCCCTTAGAGTACTCATCATTATGGTAAATTTTGACAACAGTGGCAAGAATTATATTCCAATTCGGAAAAGCCAATGTGGTTCAAGTATGAAATTTTTCTTCCATGTTTGCCTCTGTAGGAAATGTACACGTATTGTTTGAGTTGATATTAAAAAGTTGAAACTGTACAGCCACAGAGAGATCTTCCTCCTTGAGTCTAAGTAACTCATTGCTCTTTGAATTGTATGAGTCAAGCCTTGTGTTTGGAATGTAAGAAGTTACTCTGGCTTTGTTTGTTTGTTTGTCTTTTCAGCTGTGGCCATCACTGTTGAAGAAGTTGAGAGCTCTGGGTCCACCGCCTCCAAGTGCCCTGTTACCTCTGAATGTAGCCTTGACCAAAAACTAACATTAAACTTAAAAGAAGATGAAATAGAAACTGATGTACCAAAAGAGAACATTGGCTTGCCAGAAGAAAGACCTCAAACCTCTACTGGTCCTTCTGATACTCAAGAAATTCATGTAAAAATATTATTTTTTTAATGCTTTCTAGGTTTTAATATAGTTGGGCTTTAAAGATAATCATTTAAACTTAATCTGTTCATTTGACACCAACATTTTTAAGATCTCGCTAAGTATAAATATTTTGTGGGCTATAAAATAACACAAACTTTAAGAGATTGGTTTTTATGTAAAATCAAAAGATTATATTAAGGTACAGCTTATCGATTTGTTTGTTGTTGCTCATTTGCTTTAAATGGGAGGGATTATTGTTTTGTTTTTTAAGCTGTCACTAAACATATTAACTACTTGAGACCTTGAGAGCTCGTTGTGATACGTGAATATAGTAACCAGGGTCTCCTGCATATCTGTGGGAGAGACACTGGAAAAAGACGGCTTGTAGTGCTTGATAGGATTTCTGCTTTTCTACAGTCCTATCAGATCCCTTACACTATGAAGGGAAATTTGAGTGAATGGAATTAGGAATAAAAGCTAATAGAATTCTGACTCATAAACATCGAGTTGTATGAAATTTGGGGAGTTTATTATAAATTCATAACTTCCTCCACATTCATCTTTGTAAGTACTCTCCCCTGAAATCAATCAACGGCGCTGAATTTCCTGTTTATAACGTTTGGAGGCTGGTAAAACCATGGCAGTAGTGCAATGGGACTCCTCATTTCTAGGTTGGGTTTAAATCTGCCAACTCACTATTTGGGGAGTGGGAAAATGTCTTTTGTCTAGGTGGGTGATAATGTCTACCTTCTTGGTCAGGAGATCTCTCTGTTACTCTCTACCTCCTCCTTTTTCTCCCCTTCCCTTACCAAAAGGTAAATGCAAGGACCATTCCTTCTTCCACCAAACCCTTGCAAGAGAGGTACTGAACTTGAAAGCCTTAGGAATTTCATGGTTTATGCAGCCCCAGCAAAGGGAAGAAGATTGAGTCTAGCCCAAGGGAGCTTATGTAGGTGAATTGTTCTTCAACCTTATGGGGATCATGCTGTTAGAAAGTATGAATAGTTAGGTAATTTGGGGATTATTGTTTGGGGTTGTTTCCTTTTCTCTGATTAAGTTTTTTCTTGGTGAAAGAATAAGTCTTTCATTTTCTTAGAATTGTTAGCATGATTTTTAATATTTTGTTAATGCTGTCTTTTTAGCTAAGAAAATGTGGGATTTCTAGTTTAATTCCATCCATAATCTCAATATCTTTTTTCTGTATAGTTAGTTTGATTGAGGTTTCATATCTTAAATGGATGTTTCATGAAGTTAAACCCATTAGCATACGCCATAAATCAAGTGTAGTTTATATTTTTAAATGGACACAAAAAGAGTGATGTCATTACAATCCTGTATGCGTTACAATTAGTTAACTAGGTTTTTTTTACCTTTAATTCATTTTAGCTAATTAGATGTGAAAAACTTGAAGCTCAAAATTCAGAAGAGGAGGCCAAGACTATCTCATTTAATGAGTTGTACCCCTTAGGAGCACAGCAACTTCAGTGTAACTTTGATGCTATTGAGCAGCAGTTCTGTGACTTGCCTGATGATAAAGACTCTGCTGAATGTGATGTTGCTGAAGTAGACGGGGAACTTTTTGTGGCCCAGAGCAACTTTACCTTGATTTTAGAAGGTGAAGAAGGAGAAGTTGAGGCAAGTGACTCTGCAGCACCTAATGTGTTACCGAAAGTGACTAACATAGCAACCAAGGAAAAACCTGTGTCCCTTGTGGAACCCCATAATCAAGAACATGTTACAGATTTGCCATCTGCTGTGACTGAGGACCAAGAATCCCACAAGGTAGAGACTTTACCATACGTGCCTGAACCAGTTAAAGTGGCAATTGCAGAAAATTTGTTGGATGTAATTAAAGACACAAGAAGTAAAGAAGCAACTCGCGGGGCAGCAGATGAGGCTGTTGATGAGGACATAGCAGTAATAAGCCCACAGGCTGCACATTCGCCCAGATTGACAAACTCTACACTGAAGACTGTTAGGAAAACACGTGCAGAGACTTTAAATATCAGGCAGAGTGATAACACGGTTTCTTCTAGAACTCTCACAAGAAGGCAGCATGCCCTAAGCCTGAATGTCACATCAGAACAAGAGCCCTTAGCAATTGCTACTCCTAAAAGGAAAACTAGAAAAATAAAAGAACTTCCTGAGTTTTCTGAAAGTACTTGTTCTGACATAAAAGTAACACCTGAGAACCAGCTGACAGCTCAGAGTCCTCCCCTTTCTAGGAGAGGAAAGAAGAAAAAAGACGTTAGCCAAGGTACACTGACCAGCTCTGCGCCTGTGGAGCAGGAGCCTCAGAGTACACCAGAGCCAGCAGCTCTTGAAGAAACACCTTCTAGAACAAAAGTCAAGCCTTCATCTATCAGAAAGGGGACTCCTAGAAGACTTAAGAAATCTGTAGAAAATGGACAAAGTGCAAAAATTGTATATGATATCAAAGGTAGTAAAGCAGCAAATCATGATGGGGCTGTCAAAGAGCTGATGAGCATTGCCGATTTAGAAGATACTCAAAATATGGAGTATAAACAAGATGAGGAACGCAGTGACCGGCAATTGCCTCTAAAGCGAAAAAGGGTCAGAGAAGTTAGTGTGTCGGGTGTGACAGAAGAGCTCAAGCTTACCTCATCCCAGTTGCCTCTTCAGACAGGACTTGATGGACCTGCCACCCCTAGGAAATGTGGTAGGCCCAGGAAGGCAGTTCCGTTAAAAGCTGATGGGGCCACAACTGGTAAGGATCAGACAAGTCCCCAGAAGAAAGAAGTTCCGGTTGTCCGGAGATCTACACGGAACACCCCAGCTAGAAATGTGAGTACTTTAGAAAAATCCATTTCAGTGCCAAATAAGGAACCTCCTGTAGTGATGACATCAAAGAGAAAACCTACAAAGCAGTCTGCAGACGAGAGCTCAAAAGGTTCGTTACCAGCAGATGAAATAGCCCACCAAGAGTCCGCTGACCAAGAAGAAAGACTGCTAGCCACTGCTGCCCTCGCTAAGTCGTCCTGGAGCACAAGGACTAGGTCGAGAAGGACCGTGTTGTTGACAGACATTTCTGAACCCAAAACTGAGCCTTTATTTTCTCCTCCTTCAGTGAAGGTTCCAAAGAAAAAAACAAAAGGTACTTAGTTTTATTCATTTTTAATCTTTCTTAGAATAGAAAGCCTAAAAATTTGGTTGTTTAAAAGCACTATTTGAGTTAATTATTGGAATTGAAGCGCTAAATATTTTTCCGTAAATTAAAAGTTGTGATTAAAAGACAACACACCTACTCAAAAACAAAACAAAACAAAAACAAAAAAACCCATCAGATTGATCTAAAAGATTTTATTGAAGATTATCCAGATTTATGTCCATAGTCCATGTGACACAGGTTCTATTTTGTCCTCTTTTCTTTCTGTCTTTATATCTAAGTGACTTCATTTCATTTCCCTTTAAATATAACTTTTTGTTGTGTTTTAAGAAAAAGTTTTTTGATCCAAACAGTGCTTGAAGTTTAAGAAACAACATTCTTCTTATGCTAATTTAGAATAGCATAATAAACACCTTAGTTATTCTTTGTCATGTTAACATAATTTTCTATATAGCTGGTTTTGTTAAAAAATATATATACATCTATTATAGAAAATTAGATAATATATGCTTTAGTGCATGGATGGTCTTACTAAAGAATAAATGGAATAAGCCAAGCATGGTTACACCTATAGTCCCTATAGTGTTGAGTCGGAGGCAGCAAGGCCACCTTGGGCTATATGGCAAGACTGTATTAAACCACATGCTACAGCTTATGAACGTACTTCTTTCATGATCATTTCCAGAACCTAATGGTAGAGGTGTATGTTAGAGCGGTTCACTAGCCTCTGTGGAGGCCAGAGATCAACTGAGATGGACCACTGGTGTCTTCCAGTGAACCTGGAACTCAGCAGTTAGCTAAACTGACTAGTCAGTAGACCCTCTGGATCCCTCTCATTTTTGCCTCCCAGCACTGAGAATGTAGACACTTAACACTTTGTCCAGCATTTTATATGTGTACAGTGATCTGAACTTGGGTCTTCACGCCTACACAGTCTCCCAGTCCCAGATACTCATAGTCTTCAAAGCCTAAGCATATATGACATTGTAATTTGGTCACATGTGGCATTTCATTATCACTAATACTCCTCGGGTGTATGAGCATCCTCCTGTGGGATATGTTCATGTTTTCAGGGTTCCTGTGTTAGAAGAGGCATCTTTTATTAGGTAGCTGGAGGTACTGGAGGTACTTGAGAGTCGGGGTCTCATTTTATTTAAAGTTGACCACAGTGGAATTGTTTGACCACAACAAGTAGCGAGTGGTGCAAACTAGAGTTACCTTTCTCCTTCTTCCCAGAGACCTTTTCCAGCTTTGGATTTGTCTTGTAATTTTCAACTTTTTAATCCTGACTAATACTGTTCAGTGAAATGTTTTTCAGAAGTTTGCAGAGATAGATGAGACATTGTCTCACAGATAGTAAAATTTCGTGTATGCCCTAAAAGAGGCATGTAAAAGAAACCATGAACAGGCCAAACATTTTGAACATGATACTAAATTCTTACATTTCTTTTTGGCATTTTTTAGACAGGGTTTCTCTTTGTAACTTTGGCTACTCTAGAACTAGCTCTGTAGACCAGGCTGGCCTCAAATTCACAGAGCTTCACCTGCCTCTGCCTCCCAAGTGCTGAGATTACAGGCATGTACTACCACTACTACTAGCTAAGTTACTAGCTACCACTACTAGCTAAGTTCTTCTTAGTCCTAGAAGTATGTGAGGAAGCTTAACTGGAGACTGAGATGCTCTGAGAAAGCCAAAGACGATGTTGCTCCAGGTAGCCTAGAGAGTTGGGAATATAGATTTGTATTTTAACAGTAGGAAGGGTGCCTTCCCATCAGTGGCCTGACATGTAATTCCTGTTTCTCATAAGCTGGTAGTAAAGTTGTCTGATGCTGCTAATGCTTGTCTCGTGTTAAGAGCCATGATGGCTTTTATGGGTTAGGGAGATGACTCAAGTCAGTAAAGCACTTGACTCTCAATCTTGAAAACCTGAGTTTGGATCCCCACAATCCATGTAAAAAACTGGCATGGTACATAGCCCAACAGTGGGGGAAGGAATGGGGAGGGAGGGTGCTTACGAGCCAAGTAGCCTGGCCTTGTGTAAAGTGAAAGACTTGCATCAACCAAAAGATGGAAGACACCTGGGGACCAGCCCTGAAGGCTGTCTGCTGGCCTCTATAGACACACTCCTGCGCCTGCACAAGAATGCACGCACAAAGGGTCAGGCGAGTTTGGGTTGGAGTTTGGTTTTGTTGGTTTTTGTTTTTTGTTTTTGTTTTTGTGTGTGTGTGTGTGTGTGAGTAGTGGTGGTGTTTTGCTTTGTTTTATTTGAGATAGAATCAGACCAGCTGGGCCCCAAACTTGTCATTTTCTTACCTCTACCTCCTGCTGGAACTGTAGGTTTGGGCCTTCATGCCCAGCAAAAGTCATACTAGTAAGATTTGATGTCTGATGTTGGTCAGTGGTCCATTTGTGTATCTGTCTCTTTGTCTCAGAGATGTGCGAATCATACAGAACTTGTTTATAAAGCACTTGCTATATGCCTCGGATTGTTCTGAGCTTTACTGAGATAATTGTCATCTGTGTCCTACTTTTTATTGGCTGAGGCCTGGGTAGTGAGTTCAGAGTCTACATGTGACCTCTGTGCTGCTTCTGTAGTCACAGTGCCATTGCTGTGGGGTACTATTTAAAAGGCTCAGCGGAGAGTCTGCATGCTAGTTTCTTTTTGATTACTCACTTTACATTCCTCTCATTGCCCCTCTCTCTGTCACCTCCTCCCTCCATCCTTCCCCCCTCCCCTTTTCCTCTGAGCTGGTGGGGCCCCCCTCATCCTGGCACATTAGTTATTTTTAAAATGCCTTTGTTTACATGTAGTAATTCTGTATAGATTTCGTTTCACACTTTCATATATGTACATAACATTTTGATCATAGTCAGCTCTCCTCCTTCACCCTTTCACCCCTTCCTCTGAGCCGGCTCCTCTATTACCTTTACCTCTTTTTTTACTTTTAACTTTGTATGACTCAGTTAGGGAGTGGTTAAACTGGTCATATCTGTTATATGTAACCTCCTGCTATTCTTCAGCTTTAACGTTTATGACCTTTCCTACTCCCCACCCCCTTAAGAGTGAGTAGCTCATATAGAAAGGGTTTTGGTTTGGTTTTTGAGTTCCGAGACATGGTTTCTCTTTTTAATAGTCCTGGCTGTCCTTGAGCTCCATTTGTAGACCTTGAACTCGGAAATCCGCCTGCCTCCGCCTCCCGAGGGCTGGGATTAAAGGTGTGTGTCACCACCTTCGAATGAGGTTTTAAAGTTTGAGTCTCTTCTTTGCAAATGAATGCTCTTGTGAATAAAATTCACTGTCTAATGAAAACCTCGTCTAGAAATGGAGACTCACACACCATATGGGATTCATTCAGCTCCTGAGAGAAGCTGAGGGTCCAGCTAACGAGCAGCAGCTTTGTGCAGCCTGGAGTGCCATCTTTATGATGTGATAGCATTTACTTTGAAGCCTAAACTATTCATGGCTTAAATCAGAAGGGGATGTTTTTGCCTTCACTTCTGTCTCCTGACTTGGGTAATGAGTGTCTGCTGTGTTGTCTTTGTCGGGGATCTTTCTAATATGCACCATTTCTTCAGGATTTTTGCTGCTGTAGATATGATTGCCTTTTGTTGTTTTGTTAAACCAGACATAGTTACAGGTCAATGTTTTGTTTGTTCCCCACTTGTCTTTAGCTGACAACATGGAGGCTGCCGCCCAACTGAAAGAATTGGTGTCAGATTTATCTTCTCAGTTTGTTGTTTCCCCTCCTGCCTTGAGAACCAGGCAGAAAAGTACATCTAATACTTCCAAGCTTCTAGGTGAACTGGTAAGGAAGGCATGAGTTACATATTTATTAAAAACATCCTCTGTGCTTACTGGGTTATTTGTTTGTTTATTAGTTTGTTTGTATGTTTGAAATAGACTGTATACTTCAGGATTGTCTGAGAATCATGATCTTGCCTCGGGCTTCTGAGAGCTGAGATTAAAAGGATTTTTAAATGATTTTTAAAATTTATTTTTCCTAAGTAAATTGATTGAAAAATAAATTTATTTAAAGATGTATGTGGTCCAGAGAGATGGCTCAGCAGTTAATAGTACTAGCTGTTCTTACAGAAGACTTGGTTCAGGTCCCAGATCACAACTTCTAACTCCAGTTTCTGGGGATCCAGCCTTCTCTTCTAGCCTCCTGGGGTGCCAGGCATGCATGTGGTCCATATCCCCCCAAAATACTCATACACTTGAAATAAAAATAATAAATATTTTTAAAGCAAGGTAATTTACATTTATATCAAATGCCCAAACACTCACGTTTGCTCTCTGCAAGACAGATCAGCAGCAATTTTCTAGTTACCTGTTAGGATGAAAGTTTTACAACTAAAGTGGTTGCCAGGCATAGTGACATTCACCCTTAATCACAAAGCTCAAGGCAGAGACAGGAGGCTCTCTTGAGTTCAGTTCCAGCCTGCTCTGTGTGCTTAGTCCTCAGCCTGCCAGGTGTGCATAGTGAGACCACTGAAAACAAACCAGCCAACCTATGATAATAAACAAGGCCCTTCACATTACTAGGGTATTTAAGTGAAGAGACAAGAAATCTATCTATGTGTTGAGTAAAGTCATCTCTGCCCAAATGCCTCTATAGATAAGAAGCGGAGGGGAGAGGCCTTTCTCTATAGATACAGAAGCGGAGGGGAGAGGCCTTTCTCTATAGATACAGAAGCGGAGGGGAGAGGCCTTTCTCTATAGATACAGAAGCGGAGGGGAGAGGCCTTTCTCTATAGATACAGAAGTGGAGGGGAGAGGCCTTTCTGGCAGAAAAAGCACCAGCTGCAGGGATTCAGAAACATGGCAGGGTGGCCACAAGTAGCCGTGGGTGGGTTTTAAGTAGTTTCTGTGGAAAGCATTCTAGGAAGGAAGAAAGCCATCTTTGGTGACCCTGTGCCTACAAGATGGAGAGAGCCTGGCCTCAGTGCCAAAGATGCAGTAACAGGGTGGATGGTAGAAGCGTGCATGGTGAATGCTGACAAGACAGGGTTGGGTGCAGTGTGGGGTAAGGAGAAAACCATTCTAGTCTAGACCGTCAAGTTTTCTATTTACCAGCCAGAGGGGTCTGTGTAGGAAGCAGAAGGTGGATCTCTGAGTTTGAGGCCAACCTGGTCTACAAAGTGAGTTCCAGGACAGCCTGGGCTACACAGAGACAGAAATAGAGAAACCCTGTCTAGAAAAATCAAAAGTTTTAATTGCTTAAACAATTTATATATTTTAATTTCTAACCTATAGGAGAGTGACTCTAAACCATTAGAAGTCATAGAACAAAAACCAAAAAGAAGCAGGACTGCAAAGACAAAAGCGAGCAGGTAAGCAGCAGCTTCTGCTCCATCCGCTCCGTCCTCCACCACTCCCTAGAACCAAGGAGTTGCTAGAAAGGATGAGACGCTTCTCATGCATGATGGCACCTTGACATTGGTAGAGCTCAGCCTTTGAAGGCAACATTCTCCACAGAGCGAAAACACATAGTTTATTGTCCACTTGGCATTGTTGGAAGAGAAGATAGTTTGCCTCTTCATTAATTAAGGTCCCACAGCTGTCTCACTACTGTGGTAGATGAGTCCGTTTGAGATACCTTTGCGTAACGGGGTTCTTATACTGTCCTTAGGCTGCACGGCTAATTTGAATGAAAGTACAAATCAATTGACAAATGTGATCCAGTTGACTTACGACACTGCTCACATGTAAACCGCCTTTGTCTATTTTCATGATACACAGACTCACCACTTGGTACTGTTTACAAGTCCGTGGGTCTGCTGGCTCCCATCCCATGAGCTGGCTATAGGTACTTGGGCCATCCTTGTAACAGCAATATTTGATTCATGTCTGTGGCTAAGTATTCGTATGAACACACATGAGGATGGGGTGGGGGTTGAAACATTAACACTGCAAGTCCACCACAGCTGTACGTGGACTCCTTGACTCTCCATGGCTCTGTGAGGGGGAAGCACTAGACAAGACTGCACGTCATGCCCATCCCCACTTGACTGTATCTTTGTTTCAGAAACACGGGAAAAGGAAGTTCTTGGTCACCTCCTCCTGTAGAAATTAAGCTGGTTTCTCCCTTGGCAAGTCCAGTGGATGAAATAAAGATCAGCAAGCCAAGAAAAACTGCAGAAGTAGCAGGAAAAACTCCTGGGAGGGGCAGAAAGAAGCCATCTTCTTTTCCAAAGCAAATTTTACGCAGGAAAATGCTGTAATTTTTAGCCCAAGATTTTAACATGCACCTGTTTGTAAAATCATCAGTATTTGTGTGGATTATTAAAAGTCACCCAATTTGGATGGAAATACTTTATATAAATTGTACAATTTTGTAAGCAAGTAAATAAGTAAAGTAACTCCATATGGAGTGCAGTTCTTCTAGTCCAGGCATTTTATAATACTTCATACGTTTATATAATATGTAAATATGGCTTACCATTGGGATGTTAAATAAACTACTGTAAAGTACATACTGTGTGTCTGTTAGATTTTTGAGAGGGGATTTCTGTTTTAGTTGTAATTTTATATGCTACTAGACATTTGTTCATTTTCTTTCCAGTTAAGATACTAGAATTGTCTTCAAATGAGGGTGATTGACTATTAATTATTTTTAACGTTGCTGTTTTATGATGTATGCACTTTGATGCTATTCCTCAGACTAATCATTACATGTACTCATTGGGCTTTGCCTGATACTGTGTTGAATTGTGGGCATTTGACTTTGCCTTTTTGTAGTTTTACAATTTTGTGTAATCTACCTCAAATGAGTAATTTTCCAGTACTGCATTTGTTTCCTATGCTGGCATTTCTTGTTCAGTAACTTAAGGACTATCTTGTCTCTCAATTCAGAGACTAATTATCCAGGTTAGATTGACCGGTTTCACTGCTTCTTAGCAACCTCATGGAAGGATTTGAGAAAGAAATGTAAAACAGAGCACCTGGTTTATGCCTAATGTTGAGGGGTCCCAACAAACTTAGACTACCGTGCTGTGAAAGAGCTTGTGACTGAGTCACAGAAGCCTCTTTAGTATTCAGGTTGTAAGACTAGTGATTGCTACAGGACCTCAGGCACAGGTTACAGAGAGTGAAAGAGTGTGAGCAGATGTCGGAAAAGAGGAACAGAACCTCAGTGAGAGTGTGCACTGTTAGTAATGGCGCCTGATGGACGCCATGATGTTCATCAATAAATAAGTGTTGTCAAATAATTTATGACAGGTAATTGATAGTGTGTAATGAATGAATGCTTAATAATTGATACCTAAAAGCAGACTGCCTTTGTCAGCTAAGCTTTGGATGTTTTCGTGAGCAGTGCGCTTTCTGTGTTATTTTTCTACGGACTAGCATCATGGATAACGAGAAAATGGGGGAGATGCCTGTGCCGAGAACGGACAGTGTGAGAGTGGCTGTCCGAGTGCGGCCTTTCAGCCAGGTCAGTCCATGCTCATTGCCTTGTTGACAATTACTGCCTGATTTTATTAATTTTTTAATAATAGTTACTGAATTTGTATTTAAGCTGCTTGTCATTTATGAAATATTAAACTTATTTAAATGAATTTGTCAAATGAATAACAAAGATCTAAGCATAATTTAGTAAACATTTTATTTCATTCCTTGGTACAAGTAGCACAATAAAAAAAACTGACAAGAAATACTGTCAAGTTAATAATTATTTAAACCAGTGCAATTTGCTAAATAAAAATGTGTGGTATCTGTTTTTAATACATGTGGGGGTGGGGCAGAGATGTCAGTTTCTAAGAGTGCTTGCTTGCCAACCATGCGTGAAGCCTTAGGGTAGCTGGCCAGCACAGGATGAGATGAGGCGCGGCAGTGTGTGGGATCCCAGCTTGAGGTGGGGCATCCTACCAGAAGCTCAGTTCTCCTTGGCTATGTTGTGCATTCAAGGCCAGCTTGCGCTGCATGAAACACCAAGAAATGTTTATCTTAAAAGTAGGTCTTGCCACGGGGACATGTTGTCAGTGATCCCAACATAGAATGCTAAAGTAGGAGAATCGAGTTCCTGACCAGACTTAAGTCACATAATGAGAACGTGCTGGGCTACACTCCCATGTCAATTTTATGGAAATGCTGCTCGTGAGATCTCAGGTACTCAAGGCCGCCACTTCCCCTTGGCTGTGCCCCATCCTACCTAGCATATATACATAGACACATTCTGCATACCACACGAGTCAGAAGAATCCAAATAACTGGACCTAAACCCCTCCACAGGTTCCAGAGAGGATGTTTAGTAAGAAGCTTGCCACAGAGTAGAGGGCTGTTCTGTGCCCAGTGCAACCACTGGAGCCTGCTTTCTCCTCTTTCCATTATAGTAGGCTTGTCTTCGCCTACTGTGACCAGTGAGGTTTTGTTACTATGACTGCCAGAAAGTGCTAGTTCTAAAGAGAAGTGTCCAGGCAGCTGGAGAGAGGGCTCAGTACATAAAGAGCACTGGCTGTTGCGGAAGACACAGGTTCAATTGTCAGTGCCTACTTCCAGAATGTCCTCGGAGCAAGGATATTAGTAAAAAATAGAATGGAGATGATGCCCTAATTTCAGGCTCACCAACACTTGTGTTACTCTGATGCTCCTACCCCCCACTTCCACCAGTTATTTTACATAGCTCTAGAAAGCAGCGTCAGTTGCCATGGGCCCATGAACATTCAGCGTGGGGCTCCACCAGCACAGTGGGCTCCTTGTCTTCACAGGCCCAGTGAGTTCCTTGGGAGGACTGTGACCACTCATTCTGAAACAAAACCTTGGCTCCACCTCTTACATTACTATTTAGAATTCCATTGACTACCTGTTCCTATGCCCCACAAGAAACTCCGTCTCCTCTGGGGCAGCAGAGGGGAAGGTGAGAATGAGGTTTGGGCTTATTTCCCTTCTCCGTAGGCTACCAAGATAACCTTGGGTTATCATTTTCCTGGAGTTCAGGAATAGAACAAATCACAACACACCATTCTGTTTCTACCCTAAGTACTACCCATCCACCCCCTCCTCCTCTCAAGTTTGTCCGTTTCTCTTGTCAAGTGTTATATATGACAATGTGTGTGCAGTTTCTCCCAGACCAACAACAGCCTTGTCCACATCGTAAACTGGGCTTAGTTCCTATTCCATCACCATGATGAAACACCATGACCAGGGCAACTTAGGAAGCATTTAATTTGGGGACTCAGGATTCCAGCGGGTAGTAGAGGCCATGCCCATCACAGGAGGGAGTATGGCAGAAGGCAGGCATGCCTGGCACTGGGGCAGTAGCTAAGCGCTCACTTGTTGAGGTAACCACAAGGCAGAGGGAGAGAGAGCCAACTGGAATGATGGGACTTTTGAACCCTCAAAGCCCACTCCAAGTGACACACCTCCTAATCCCAAACACTTCAACTGGGGCCCCAGCATTCAAACAATGGGTAAAAAGAGCTTGTGCAGAGCCTGGTGGTATTTGACCCCTACAGACCCCAGTAGGGGCAAAATGATTCCTAAAAAGTTGTCCTCTTGATCTCCACACACACCGCACACATGTACATCATACATATACATACACATGCATACACATATATATCATACACATAAAAAATGAAATATAGTAAAAATGAATTTCCTAGACCCTTGGAATGCCTGGGCATAAGTGGCTTCCCCTATCCATGCAGTTCCCATAGAATGCTCAGCCCTGAGCTACCTGCTCTGCCACACCCCTCTCGTCTGCCCATGCCCCTCATGGCCTCAAGGATAAATCTACAGTGGACTGAGTTCCTTGGATCGATCAGGCCAGATGATGGGTGATACTACTCCTCTCAGCTCCAGATCTTCTCACAGAAATGCCACTCCCATATCCCAGAACGTGCTCATTCAGGAGGTGAGACTCTCAGGAACACTTGTTTAAGAGAGTTTGCTATATGTCTATGAATGCTGCTAAATTCTATACCTTGTTAATAGTCACAGAAGAGCAAGAATCAGGTGTAGGTGGGGGTCTCAGCTCTCATTCCTTCAATTCCAAGCTCCTCCCTATCCCCTTCCAGGGTTCTAGTATCCACATCCTGCGGCATTGATGAGGTGGGGGCTCCACCTTATTCCTCTCCCATATCCACAAAGCTGGACATGGTTTTTTGTTGGCAGCCTAGCCTTCCATTTCCCTAGCATTGTGCATGCTCTAAGTCTTCTGAGTCTTTAGCTCTCTTCCCCATAGCCATTGGTCATTGGTGGTCATCCAGCCCACAGCAACAACCTCACTACAGTGGCAAGACACTCCATGCCCCTTTGACAGTGGTACAAGTGGCATTTGGCTAACAGCTCAGAAACCTTCAATGCCTTTGGTGTATATGCGTAATTTACTGTACAGGGCGCACTTCCCACACAGAACTATATATCCGACTTGTGTGGCCTCTTACTCGGGCTTCTATCTTTTATCCACTTTCTCAGTTTTCTGGTTGGCTTACCAATTGTTCTAAAAAAGAATCCACTCCCAATATATGAGGTGGCATGAGACAAAACGAAGTAGTAGAGACCGGGGTTGCACAGAATGTACCCTGCTAGCAGAAGCCAGGCCTGGGCAGATCCTACAACTCTGGTCAAAGAAGAGGGTTTATTGATCAGTCTTCCTCACTGCCCTATACTGTGATGAGACACTTGTGACCAACGTAACTGAAAACGGAAAGTATTTAATTGGAAGCTTACTTATAGTTCCAGAGGGTTGAGTCCATGACCATCATGGCAGGGAGCATGACAACAAGCAAGCAGGCAGTGATGCTGGAGCAGTAGCTGAGTGCACCGTACTGGCAAGTTAGAAGCAGAGAAACAGAAACTGAGTCTGGAGTGGGTCTTGTTGGAGGAGGTGTGCCACTGGAGACATATCAAAGCCCATGGTATATCCAGTGTGTGTGTGTCTTTTTTTGAAACTTCCAATCCCACCCTTAGTGACACACCTCTTCCAACAAAGCCACACCTAATCCTTCCTATACAGTTCTACCAACTGGAAAACAAAAATTCAAATATAAGCCCATGGGGGCATTCTTACTCAAACCAGCACAAGTGGTCAGGACAAGTGACTTCACCCAACAGGAATGTACTATGATTCTGAATTTATAACCTGACTGACTATAGAGAGAAAAGAACTCGGGAAGCCAATGTGTGATTTCCATGCATTCCCGAAGCATCACCATCCGGCACCCTAAGAATGAAGACCATGTGAAGACCTTTACCTTTGACCTGGCATACTGGTCTCATGATGGATTTCAAAAAGATGAAGATGGTCTCCTTATTCCATCTGATCCAACTAGTAAATTCGCAAGCCAGGTAAGTCGCTTAGAAATGTCAGTGGTACATTTTGTATATTGTGTTTCCTTGTCTAACATGCTATAAACACTTCAATATTGTCCATGCCAGAGCAGGGAGATGGCTCAGTTGGTGAAACACTTGCTGCCTGAGCATGAGGACCTGCAGTTGGGATACTCAGAAGCCATGTGAATGCCAAGCCTTGTTCCTTGGCTTAACGGTGCTTTCGAGAAGCATAAGCTAGGAGCAGAGGCTCTGGGCACCAGCATGTCCTTGAAGAAGATGTGGGGAACCTGCCCCTCTCTTCTTTCCCACTGTGCTTTCTAGCAATCAGATGCTTTCTTAGCATCAGAGATGGCTAAGTCTCTGCCCTTTGCTTCTATCATGACACATTGTATCATCACAGAGTTACTGCAATGGGACTAATTGAACATGCGTTGAAATCATGATCCCAAGACAGTTTTCACCTTTGTAAACTGATTGTCTTGGGTATTTTAACAATGAAAAGCTGGCTAGCGCAATGGAGCACCAGTGAAGGGAGCTCTTCTGTTTGGTCATAGAGTGGTGAGTGGCAAGAAACTGAAATGTAACTAGAAGATGTACCAGATTTTTTAGCTTACAGATGATACCCAGAATATGTCCCGGTGGAAGACTACACCACTAAAATTTTTATAAAATGATTCTATTCCCTACAGAAGACTTGACTTGCAACATTTTACATTATTTGAAAATTTCAATTTATAAATATTGAGGACAAGGGCTGGTGAGATGGAATCCCACCACGCCTGATGACCTGAATTCAACCCCTGGGACCAACAATGGTAAAAGGAGAAAAACAACTCCCACAAGTTGCCTCTGAATTCCCCACATGCACACACAAATTTGCACATGAACACAAAATAAATAAATTAAAATGTAATTTAAAAAATTTTAACTGAGAACAACAAAAATTTCTAAATTTCCAATAGTGCTATAAGTAGAAAGGACAGCACAATTACTAAACTTGGCAATCACTCCTGAGGTTGACCGGGTTGCTTGGAAACAACTGTAGACTGAGACAGTCGGATGCTCAGTGGGTAGCAGTGCTGGCTGCTCTGGCACCTGTAACTCCAGCTTTAGGGCATCCAACACCTTCCTTTGGTGTCCAAGGGCATCTGCGCGCACACACACACACACACACACACACACACACACACACTAAAAAACCTTTTTTAAAAAGCTGTAGATAGCCGGGCGGTGGTGGCGCACGCCTTTAAATCCCAGCACTTGGGAGGCAGAGGCAGGTGGATTTCTGAGTTCGAGGCCAGCCTGGTCTACAGAGTGAGTTCCAGGACAGCCAGGGCTACACAGAGAAACCCTGTCTCAAAACAAAAAAAAAAAAAAAAAAAAAAGCTGTAGATAACTTGCAGATAACTTCATTTTCAAATACATTTTGAGTAAAAGTATAGACAGTGGGTTTTTTGGGGGGGTTGGGTTTTTTTTGTTTTTGTTTTGGTTTGGTTTTGTTTCGTTTCGTTTCGCTTGGTTTGGTTTTTCGAGACACAGTTTCTCTGGCTATCCTGAAACTCACTCTGTAGACCAGGCTGGCTTCAAACTCAGAAATCTGCCTGCCTCTGCCTCCCAAGTGCTAGGATTAAAGTCATGCACCATCGCTGCCTGGCAGACACAGTGATCTTGAAAACTATAGACCAAATTCTGTTAATCCCAGAGAGTACACGGTCTTTACAATACAATAATTCTTTATTCCCTTTGTATGCTTGTTTTGTTTATATATATATATATATATATATATATATATATATATATATATATATTGTTGTTGTTGTTGTTGTTGTTGTTGTTGTTGTTTTTCGAGACAAGGTTTCTCTGTGTAGTCCTGGCTGTCCTGGAACTCACTCTGTAGACCAGGCTGGGCTTGAACTCAGAAATCCCCCTGCCTCTGCCTCCCAAGTGCTGGGATTAAAGGTGTGCGCCACCACCGCCAGGCTGATACAGCATTTCTTTATTTAGTCCTGGCTAGTCTAGAACTTACTATATAGATGAGGCTGGCCTCAAACTCACAGAGATCCTCTGCCTCTGCCTCTCTGCCTCTCTGCCTCTCTGCCTCTCTGCCTCTCTGCCTCTCTGCCTCTCTGCCTCTCTGCCTCTCTGCCTCTCTGCCTCTCTGCCTCTCTGCCTCTCTGCCTCTCTGCCTCTCTGCCTCTCTCTCTGCCTTTCTCTCTGCCTCTCTTTCTGCCTCTCTGTCTCTCTCTCTGCCTCTCTGCCTCTCTCTCTGCCTCTCTGCCTCTCTCTCTGCCTCTCTGCCTCTCCGCCTCTCCGCACCTCTGCCTCTGCCGCCTCTTAGATGCTGATATTAAAGACATACAACTTTTTAGTCCTTTCTGTAAGAAACAAATAGTATTAGAATTGGTTACTGTAAATTTTCCCTTAGTAAATTAGACTGGTGTTAGTGTTGTGTCTTTCTCAGAATTAAGAATATTATAATATATATATATAGTGACAAACGGTCCCAGGATACTCCCTGTTTTACTTTTTGAGAGCTATTGCTACATTGCTTGTGACCAATAAGAAAAGGAGCCAGGCCATACTCTGTCTTTTGAACAATTGTGGGCACAAGCATTATTTGATTCTACTCTTTAAAATGTGTCCTCAGCGGGCAGTGGTGACTCACACCTTTAATCACAATACTTGGGAGGCAGAGGTAAGTGGTTCTGTGGAGGGAGCTGTGTTGGGTGAGTGTGTGCACAAATGCATATGTGTGTTGAAGAAACACTCAAGGGAGCTACCGCCACCACTGGTGACACTCAACAATTTCCTTTCTAGAGTGATGTCTTCCATGATATAGGAAGGGGAATTCTAGACAGTGCCTGGCAAGGCTACAATGCTACTCTCCTGGCCTACGGCCAGACCGGCTCTGGAAAAAGCTACTCCATGGTTGGCTTTGGTACAAACAAGGGTATTGTTCCAAGAGTGTGTGAAGAGCTCTTCCAAGCTATTGAGAAGCAAAAGGAAAATCTAGAACTCCAGGTATGCCTTTGTTATTCTAGAATCCCTTCTCCTGGGAATTGCACCGTTTCATCTTCCACAAGTGGAAGGCATCATCGTCTGTATTTTCAGATTTGTGGCTGTGTCCTAAAATAGGCAGATATTTATATATTGTGACTAGTTCCAAAATATGATAGTAAAATGTCAGCAAACACCCACAGGCACAGTCCTTGTCCCTGCTTGTTGTAGATGGCAGCAGAGATCAGACAGAACACAAAGGAGACAAAAGCCTGCACTGCTTGGGGCAGAGGCAGAGTATTTTTTGTGGTTATTTGTTTTGACCACCTGTTGGTTGAATCCACACATACCGAACCTATGGATTGGTAGTAAGATACTGTTGTCAAAACTGCTGGATCGCCTGAGTTAGTGCGCTGTACGTGCAGTGAGCCGTTTCTATAAAGCCCGCCCTAAACCCCTCCCACAGCACTGAAACCCCTCCTACAGCACTGAAACCCCTCCCACAGCACTGAAACCCCTTCCACAGCGCTGAAACCCCTCCCATAGCACTGAAACCTCTTCCACAGCACTGAAACCCCTCCCACAGCACTGAAACCCCTCCCACAGCACTGAAACCCCTCCCATAGCACTGAAACCCCTCCCATAGCACTGAAACCCCTCCCACAGCACTGAAACCCCTCCCATAGCACTGAAACCCCTCCCACAGCACTGAAACCCCTCCTCCCACAGCACTGAAACCCCTCCTCCCACAGCACTGAATGACAAGAGCCTCCTCCCCTCCCCCCCCCTCCCCTCCCCTCCTCCCCCCCCGCTTCTCTCCCCTCTCCTCCCCTTTCCCTTTCCCTTCCAATCTCATTAGTTTTTAGTCTCCTGAGTGCTGGAATACAGGCCTACCCCACAGTTCCTGTATTGTGTCTGTTTTGTCGTTGTTGTTGCTTGTTTGTTTTGGGTTTGGATCTCTTCTGTGAGTATATACATGTGTATATGATAAAAGGTACATGCACACATATTTGTACAGGTAGGTGTACATGCTTCTGTGTACACTTGTGGAGACCTGAGGAGGACCCTGGGTGTCCACCTCCATCATTCTCTACCTTGTTCCCTTGAGAAGGGGTTCTCGCTGAACCTGGAGTTCCCTGATTTTTAGATAGACTGGCTGACAGCAAGCCCAGAGTGCCCCCTGTCTGCAGCCTCCACGATTACAGGTGAGCAGAGGCACCACTGGCTTTTCTGTGGGTGCTGGGGGTCCAAACTCAGGTCCTCCTGCTTGAGCAGCACCTCCCCAGCCGGTTTTGTGTCTTTATATAAAATTCCTTAAGAACCATGACGTGTGACACAGTTTACTAGAGTATGTTAGTGTTTTCCCTGTTACGTCACTTCTTGACTTTAGGACAATATTGACTCATTACTCTCTCTACAGGTCATGTTTAGCATGCTGGAAATCTACAATGAACAGGTAACGTGCTCTCTCTCTCTCTCTCTCTCTCTCTCTCTCTCTCTCTCTCTCTCTCTCT